TTAGAATCGGATGAAATACGGATCGTTAAATGTAAAGGCGTTTATTTCAATTCAAAATCTTTAGGTATGCCGAGGTCCATCCCTCCCCTCTCAGTGATAATGCGCGCGCGCGCGCGGCACCTTTCGCGCGACTGTTTGTTACACCAGCGGTGAAATAAAGCCGACTCGCGGCGCAAGGATTTATTTAATTAAGTGCACTTAAGTGCCTCGTAAAAACTCGCTTTCCGCAGACCGGCCCGGCGGATTTTTCACGGCGCCTTATACAGCCGCGAGCGTGTAATCGTAGCCCTATCCCTTATCGGCGCGCTCGCGTCGCGGAACGCGCGCGCTCCCGCGAGAAAAAGGACGAGCCGCACGAAAAAGCGCGGAAATGCCTTCTATCTCGTTATCGGGTGTAGAAAAGCCGCAGCGAGCTCCTGGTAATTGGAATACACGACTAAACGACGCGTAACTGATGTGTCTCCCTCTCTCCGCAGTATATTAAGAGTGAGTAAAATGTACGCACAATGTGTACGATATAATGCGACGTTTCAGAAACGCGTTAGCCGTGTATCCGTCGCGGTGAGTTTTTAATTTTTATTTTTATTTTATTTTTTTTTTTTCTTTCTTTTTCCTAGCGGACTCTCCCCGTGATCGTGCAGAATCCGTGATTTGCACCTAGCATGATTGTGCCGCGCGAAAAATCCGGCCGCTAAGTAAAATAAACACAATCTCGCGTTCGCGCGCTTGAAGCTCGCGCGCGCGCGCGAGAGAGAGAGAGAGAGAGAGAGAGAGAGAGAGAGATGAGTAATTTCAGCGCGGTGTTCAATGAGCAATGAAAGTTCAATCACAGTTAATTACAGGTGGTCTCGAGCGAGATGTTTCTTCCTGCGCTCATAGATCGTCCATTGGGAAGTGACGGCAATGACGGATTCGCGTTACGACCTCGTGGATCTCTAATTACCGTGCGCGATATTAGTTATTGCGGGACATGAATCATTGCTATCAATGAAATAGAACGGGCACCGCGCGCGTTAGCCCCTCTGAAAAATCGTAAGAATGTTAATAACTTCTCGCTGTTACCTAACCCAACGCATATGGGCGAGCGCGCCCGCGCGCTCGTCTTATAAAGGTGGAATTAGTTCCTAATCGAAAGTGTTTGTTAACTGTACGCGATACTTGAACGCCGGGACGCGAGCCTCAAATTAATTAGCGACGACAGATACGACTTCGCATAACATTAGAATACTGTTCATGCGCGTCAGAGACGGGAGGAACGATTTAATCGGATCGTCGGTTCCTTTGAATCTTGTGGAAAGTAAATATGTATCAAAAAAGAATATGTAAATGTGTGTGTGTGTGTGTGTGTGTGTGTGTGTGTGGAAAGTTAAAATCTATAAAAAGAAAGACTCGTATCTAAAATCGAGAAAACTTCATGTTTCTCGTAAAGTTTAATAATTGCAAATAGTTCACAATTATATATGTATATACCATATGTAGACCGATAGACAAATTTTTTAATGTGCACAACACATGTGCTAATTGATTATAGTGTCCTTGTAATAATTCCCAGTTACTCTCAATACATACATATTCATAATTTTTTCTCAACAACACATATCTCTGTAAAAACAAGCGATAAAATAGCTTTCGTGTCAAAAAATCTCTTGTTTTGCAGATGTGGTACTTTGTACAAATACACCTCCGTCTTTCAACTTCTCAGCGAGAGATTATTTGGATTTACGCGAACGATAAACGTACCGATGTACTTGCTGTGTCGTCGTGCGAGTAATGAAATCTCAATTAAAGCAGCAACGTGGCGACGAAATAACGCGAGCTTCTCGTGGGAAAGGCCGTTCGAGCGGCCCAAAGAATTCCAACGTACGCGAATTACGTCCCAAGAAGGACGTTGTTAGTAACAATTAAAGCGAACGCGCACGGACGTGGTTTACAGCCGAATATCGTAAGACTTTATAAATCCTGAGAGTAGAAACCCTCGAGATCTAGCGGAAAATGTGCCTGGGGTGCCGTTAACTTGCTCACGCATGTTAGCTCAATAATAATCGTGCGATAATTGCTTCTAAGAATCTCGTATTAGCTTAACCTGACAGTGATCAGTGTACTTGCGCGATACAGCCACGATAATTAGCTCGCGCATTTCGTCACAGCTACAGCTCCATGTAAACTGAATCCGTCTTCGGGATATTTTTTCGATTTTTTTTTTTTCGCAATGCAGCATTAACGTTGCAACTCGTGTATAGTGGTCCCGCGCAACGCGCAATCGATTGCATACGTTCGTCTTACTCTTTGCACAATCGCCGTTCAGATTCGTTATTAATCATTCGAAATTCTCCGCCGAAAGTTTTATCCCGAGTCGAAATTTTGCGATACCGCATTCATCCCAATTATTACTGTCGAAATACTGTCGAAAAATCAATGAAGAATCTCAATAAATAACATTCCACTACACAGGACATTACTATATACTCAATAAATAACATTCCACAGGACATTACTATATATATATATATACTTGATCCTGCAAACGGCTTTCTTTTCTACATTCGAGAAGCTCGTAGAATTATTTCTTCAAGAATTATTTAATATTTGGTCATTTCAATATATACGCGCGTCAATAAAGATATATCACCTTTAATACGAACGATTAATCAAACGCGATTAACATAGAAAGTCAATCATTCACGTCACTCGATTCAAACGTCACGAAACTCAGCTCGAACGTCACTTTCTTTCAGCAAAACGCACGATTAAAAAAAAAAAACGATAAAAAGAGAAAAAGATGCAGACGAACATGTTGGCATGTTTATTTGTTTTCACGTAGCACCGCGTTGCTCTCGACATGAAATTTGTGCACGACTTTTTTTGTATGGCCCGCTGTTTGCGGAAGCATGAAATAAGACGCGGCGACGAGTAACAAATGTAGAGACACTGTTTTTTCCCTGAATTCCACGCTGACCGCGCGCGAAAAACCGAACGCGAAACGAACGGTCGCAGCAATATATATCCGGGAATATAAACCATTACGTTAGCAATCTTCTTACTTGTACGTGGCTATAGCGACGGCTGCGCTCTTTATGCGGATAATACGACAAAAACGCGCGTGCGGTATAAGCAGCGATATTTTCGCACTTGTCGTGTCGAAAGATCGTAAAAGCTGAAATTGTCCGCGCCCCGACGCGGCCAACCGCAGGACAATGCAACCGCAATGTATTGCTCTTCAGCACGGGCTATTCAGCACGCTACAAGTCGCTCGTACCTTGTAACACCTTCCACGGGCGCAATTTGAACCCGATTATTTTGCAGGGACAGAATCGTCTGACAGGAAGCGCGATAAACGCAAATGGTAATATTTCATTTACGTCTACACAGACTGAGACATAGTGGCGATAAAGCAGCTTAAACGAGAAAGGATCCCGATAATGTATCTTTTAAAACACTGACAGACTTCCGCCCGTCTTCTCTTTTTTCTCTCGCTCTCTCGCGAGGATTCGCTCTATAAAATCGCGTTTAAACTCTTGTGCGTCAAATACGTAAACACATCTAACCATCAAATTGTAAGACCCAAAAAGTTATTATGAAAAAATATTGTCACACAATGTATTTAAAATGAAAATATTATACAAATTTTACGTAAGAAATTAAGAATCAATTTCCTTTTCCTGATTATATATCGTACAATTTGACGCACAACAGTTACAAGTGCTGCTATCTGTTGCAGACACCTCTGCTTCGTCAGTAATAGAAGATAGTTTACTTATCGACTGTACCTTTCCTCTCTTCGGGCGGGCTGAACCGTTAATGTAGCAGTTTGAATTCGAGCAGCCATCATACAATTTAACCCTGTATTTTTAGCGATCCGTGCTAAAGAGGCACTCCTTTTTTCACACTATTCACTGATATTTTGACACACACCACACTTACTTTTTGCACTGCCGGCGATCATTCGTGCGCGAGATTAATCACTAACGAGCGAAAATGCAAGAGCCCAGATACGACTCTGATTGAGCTGCTATAACCAACAAACGTACTACGCTTTGAGCGACACTCCCGACGACTCGACCCGCGAAATATTCGTTGTCGATAGCTTTCTTTAATGGCACTTTGTTACGACAAATGCGCGACACTTATTTTCGAAATATACGGCGATACTCCGTACGCGAGAGCCGCTTTAAACGAATCAAAAGACGAGGCGGTTTTACGAGCCCGAAATTTAACGCCGCCATTTGTTCCGCAACTGATCACAGCGCTTTAGATTCTCGAACCCAAAATCGATACACTCGAGGCGACGAGCCAGCCAATCAGAACGATTCACTTATTTCTCAAGATCTACATAAAATACTTGAAATTGTTGTCTGATCATAAAAATCTCGTTTCAACAAACGAAAATAAGATTTATTGACGATACTCTCGCCGATGATCCGCATGTGAGTCGAAGACAAAAAAGATCAATTATTTGAAGCCAGAGTCGCCATAACTCAGCGGATGCGCGATAGTTTGCCAACAATTCGTTTTTTGAGATATTGTCTTTTAGCGACTCGGTCTAATGGTACTTTGTCACAACAAACGCGCGACATTTATTTTCGATACGCCAGATGATACATTGAATACGAAAATCGCTGGCAACAAGTTGAAATGATGAAATTTAAGGAAAGACTTACAGAGACGATGTGCAGTGCTATGATCGTTCCGGAACAAAATGAACGATGCAGCGATTGTGATTCTCGAAAGCATCGATCGATGTCACGACGAGTCAACCAACGGAACGACTCGTTTATTCGTAATATTATTAGCAGTCACACTGAGCTAATCGGTTTTTACTAATATCTCGGTGCTATTATTTAGCAATCCTATAAAAATTAATGTCGCAAATAAATATTGTCGTTATGAATATCTTCCAACGAGAAACACAGGGCCATTATATTGGTTACAAATCATATTAAGATGACTGATAGCCAATGAAATGACGTTTCCTTGCGAAAAGCATTTCGTTTCGATTCATGGTACAACGTGGCAACACTCTGCACATGCGCGTGTAAAGCGTGGAGATGCTGAAACTCATGCGCTTTCTTCTTAACTTTGACCATCGGTACAAGGGGAATTGAACGGAATTGAGTTTCTGAATCTTTCTCGAGGACATCATGGCGGATCAGGTATATCTCGACATCTAAATCTACATTAAATAGATTTATTCACATGTGACAGAATCGTTTTATGAAAACATTTTTTGTCTTTACGATAATTAACACTATAAATAAATGCAAACAAAAACTAGAATAATGTAAATTAAAATACATCCGAAAAATTACTGTTATGAGTGCAACATGTGATTAGATTTACACGCGTGTATTAGCATTCTTAACTGCAAAATCCGAAGTTTGTGAAAAATTTTCACTATGTATGTATGATTTCATTTGCAGAGCGAACGTGCTTTTCAAAAGCAACCAACTATTTTCTTAAATCGCAAGAAAGGTTTAGGCCCTAAGCGCAGGAAACCTATGCGCTATAGCCGCAATGTCGGCTTAGGCTTTAAAACACCACGTGAAGTAAGTATAATTGTTTTATAATTTACTTTTAATCCCCGCTTTCATCCTTTGGTTGATTTTTTAACACTGGCATCCTTGTCTTAATGTTGCTATAATTATTAACAAGAAACATATCTAATGAGAAATAAATAAAATTTATCATAATAATAATAATTTACATTGGATTTTATACATATATTTAGGCTCTTGAAGGGACATATATTGATAAAAAATGTCCTTTTACTGGCAATGTCTCAATTAGAGGCAGAATTCTGACTGGAGTAGTTCAGAAAATGAAAATGCAAAGAACGATAGTCATACGTAGGGACTATCTTCATTATATTAGAAAATATAATCGGTTTGAGAAACGTCATAGAAATATGAGCGTTCATCTTAGTCCCTGCTTCAGGTATATAGCACTATATAATTATTTTTAATATGATTCAATCATTGATCTGTTCTTTTGTTCTTATCTGATGATACTAACGACGGTCTACTGACAAAGATATTTTTTGTGAAGATTGTTGTATTGCTGATTAAATAATAATAATAATAAAAGATAAAAGTAACATATAATTATCATTCTTATACAAAAATTTAATTTCATTCCAGGGATGTCGAAATTGGTGATGTGGTCACCATAGGAGAATGCCGACCATTGAGTAAAACAGTACGTTTTAATGTATTAAAAGTTTCAAAAGGGACTGGATCTAAGAAAAGCTTCAAGAAATTCTAAATTTTCCTTTCCAATGTATGTAGTTAGTGATATTTTAGTATCTATATGTTTCTAGAATATTACTTATTATGTGAATATAATTAAACTGAAAAAAGTTACAAAAGTAAACAAGTATATAATAATATTCTGGAAATATTAAAATATATAATATATAATAAAATATTACATTTTCTTTCTTATAGATTAAATACTATAGCAATTATTTTCATAATGAAAAATTTGAAAATCTCTATGAATATACAAAATTTTTCTTGTAATTGTTACAGTACCAACATGGGCAAAGAAGATATTTTCAAAACTTACAAACCTATGTATTGTATCAGATGCATTTGGACAGAGAAAACCTAAGAAAAATAAAAATTTATAAATATCCATGATCGATTAATTCCCGTATTAATGATTTTTTTACTGCTTGAAAATACTGGAAATTCTGACTAATTCATATTTCTACTCACATGATATAAATTAATATCAGAATAATTTGTTTATTTATAATATAATTGACAATAATGCTGATTCCACATAATGATCAATTTTTAATATCTCCATATTACCGTATTTAGAAATCTAAAAATTTATGTCAGAAATATTTGTATAAAGTTAACTGGCAAATTACTAATTTTTTTTTAATTATGTTGTATAATCGTTTTTATTTTGTTTGCGATAGATTGTATTTAAAAAGATTGAGTCTTTAGAATTGTAATTATTTTTTGCGCATGATGTTAGCTATATCTTAACAATTTTTATTAAATTCTATATTGAATCGTTTATATTTCATTTGTAGCATATAGTCTGTCCTTTTTAGCTGCACTAAAAATCTATAGTGGCACAAATTATGTATTTTTAGTACTGACAGTGAATTGGTCCGTTCTTTTGAACTGCCCTGTTGAATTAATGCATTATTTTCCTCTATATTTATTTATTACTGACGATGAAAGATTCAAAAGATGAGATTTGTGTATGTTATGTATGTATGTGTATTATTCTAATGGCCATTCTAATAAGCTATTAGTTATAACATATAAGAAAATAAACCAATCAAAATCCTCCAATCTATAAATGAAGAATTCCGATTGATTTATTTTCTTATGTTTTATAATTAATAACTTATTGTAGGCTGCGTTCCGAAATTCACTGTCAGTACTGAAAATACATAGTTTGTGTCACGTATACTATAGATTTTCAGTACTGGCAGTGAATTTTGGAACGCAGCCGTAGAATGGCCATAAAGCTCTAAACACAATGCCAGTCAACAGGCAATAAGAATAAAAATAGATCAATCACAATCGACTATTACAAGAATAATCTATTATGATTGGTCTATTTTTATTCTTATTGCCTGTTGTCTGACATTGTGTTTAGGGCTTTAGATCTTCTCGCTGCACTGAACTGCTTAAAGCCAACGGTACACGGTGCTTGTTTCCGTGCTGGATTGCTTGCTGGATGAAAATACTGCGTTCTGATTGGTGCATTTCCGAAGATGGATGGAAATGCACCAATCAGAACGCAGTATTTTCATCCAGCAAGTAATCCAGCACAAAAACAAGCACCGTGTGCCGCTGGCTTTACACTAGCTCCAGATCTATGGGGTCTGTTCTTTAGAGTTGCACTACTGAACTAATGCAATAAGTTAGAGTGAGAAAAAATATAGTTGTCTCACTCTAACTTATTGTATCAATTCAGCAGTGCAACTAAAAAGAATAGACCTAGGCCAGTATTTGTATGCCCATATTCATAATCAGGCATTATATTTTAGGCCACCTTATATCTATCTTTAGATGCTGCACGGATTATTTTATTGGCTACAGACTATCTGAAAATAAACTTAAGGAAGCCTTAAATATAAGGCCTGACTATGAATACGGGCCCTAATATCGGAATCAGTATTGGGGGTATTTATTCCCTAAACGCAGCTGGAGAATGGCGTATTATATATTTTCAGTATTTACAGTGAATTTCAGAATGCAGCCTATTAGGATGCTTTTATGAGGCGAAACCAAATTGTTAATATCTTTCTTTTCCTTCAATATAATAATTAATAAATTAATTATTATTTATTATTAATTAGAATTAATAAATTAATTATTATACAAAAATGCTTCCTTCCTTTATTTTTTTGCATATACCCATATTATCCTCTTATCATCCAAAATAAAATCTTCCAAAAATTCAATATTATACTATAGTAATACCCAAAGTAGAACATAAAATTATGAAGATATCAAAATGACGAGAACATGACCGAATCATGATGAAAAAATGAGTTTCCTCTCATCATTTTGACGTTATTTTGACGTCACCATAATTTTCTGTTCTGCCTAAGTATTTCTTATATAAAATGAATGTATACGTGATATTATGCGACTGATATGTTTTTTCTGGAACACGGGAACAAAATAAAAGTGTTTGATATATTTTCAATATAATATATCAATATAGCAATGTAGCATTATATAGGCTGCGTTCCGATATTCACTGCCAGTACTGAAAATCTATAATATATGTGACATAAAGTATATATTTTCAATACTGGCAGTGAATATTGGAACGCAGCCATAGAAAAAAGTAAGATAAAAAAACATGTGGTCCGGGCTCTACAAAAACCCCCAATATTACGTCTAGGCATAAGTATGTTAAATAGCTGCACGTGTAGATTAACGCATGCGCAGGAGGTTTCGTGGGAATAAATGTCTCCAACCTGATCAGAACGCAGCCTGTATCTGTGGAACAGACCAACTGTTAGGAGCTGTTTGGAACGCACGTGCTAAGAGCTTCGAAAATGGCAGAAAATGGTAATTATTATTTTCTTATATATTTTTCATAAAACATTTCACATATTACTTTAGACGCTTGTGATATCTTGTTTTATTTCAATAAGTAGAGTTGTAAACTGTCGCTTTTCTGTTATGAATTTTATCATTTGATATCTCATTGCACACACGTGTCCGCTTAAATTTATATTCATTTATAGTGAAAGTACTATTCGAAATACCGAAAAATATTGACCAATTGAAAGTTATTTATATAATAAATTTTTGTTTACATTTAATTAAAAAAATTTGACTCACGTTTCTTAAGTATTAAGTAAAAGATTATATATAGGTTATGTTATCTTTTATACTGCACTTTGCAGATAAACATAAGAAAAAAGGTAAGAAGAAATCTCTCGGCGAGCTTCAAAGAGAGGCAAAATGTGAGATCGAACCTTCTGATGAAGTAGTAAAACTTGATTGTAAAGATTGGCCCTTATTATTTAAGGTAAAAATATATTAAAAACAAACTAAAGATATAAATAAAATGAAAAAAGATATATTTTATAGAAATGATTAATAATATAGTAGAAGAATAAATTTATAAATGATTTTTTATTTACTATAGAATTTTGACAAAATGCTGACACGTACAAAACACTTTACTCCGTTATTGTATGGTTCTACTCCACTCAATCGCAACTTAAGTGAATATATAAAGTCAGGCTGCATCAATCTGGATAAACCATGTAATCCATCGTCACACGAAGTTGTGGCTTGGATAAAGAAAATCTTGAGAGTAGAAAAAACAGGTCACTCTGGTACATTGGATCCTAAAGTGTCAGGATGCTTGATAGTCTGTATAGACAGGGCAACTAGATTAGCTAAATCGCAACAATCTGCTGGCAAGGAATATGTTGCTGTGTTTAAACTTCATTCAGCTCCGGAAAGTTTACAGAAAGTAGGTTTATATTATATTGGGGAATATACAATGTATTTATAATGCATAATATATATTTACTTATGTATTATTAGTGCATATTTATGTGATATATATATATATATATTTATATATGTATTAGAAATTTATACTTAATACAATTGTAGATACAACAAGCATTGGAGAAACTGCGAGGTGCTTTGTTTCAAAGGCCACCAATTATATCAGCAGTCAAGAGACAGCTGCGTGTTAGGACAGTCTATGACAGTACATTACTTGATTATGACAGTGCACGACACATGGGAGTGTTTCAAGTCAGTTGTGAAGCTGGCTCATATATTAGAACTTTATGTGTCCATCTTGGGCTTTTCCTAGGTACTGGTTGTCACATGCAAGAACTTAGACGAATTCGTTCTGGCATTCAATCTGAAAATGACAATATGGTTACTATGCATGATATCCTTGATGCCCAATGGTTATATGACAATCACGGAGACGAATCATACCTGAGAAGAGTAATAAAACCATTGGAAACATTATTAGTGAATCATAAGAGAATCATTATAAAAGATAGTGCTGTACGTATTGAGTTCTTTATTTCTTATATTGTTTTTAAAGTGATAAAAATGTACATTTTAAGGTATATATTTTATAAAATTGTTAGGTGAACGCTATTTGTTATGGAGCACAAATAATGTTGCCAGGCGTTCTAATGTATGACTCACATATTGAAATAAATCAAGAAGTCGTAATAGTGACCACTAAGGGCGAAGCTATAGCACTTGGTGAATATCTCCTAAATGATAATAACGACACATTTTAATGTTCTGCAACATATACTTGATGTATGACAGTGTTCAATTTGTCATTCTTATAATTATTTTATTCATTTACTTCAGCCATAGCATTAATGACCTCTGCAACTATGGCTGCATGCGATCATGGAACTGCTGCAAAGATTAAAAGGGTAATTATGGAGAGAGATGCGTATCCCAGAAAGTGGGGTTTGGGGCCAAAATCGTCGACTAAAAAACGTATGATAATTGAGGGAAAATTAGATAAATATGGAAAGCCAAATGAAAACACCCCAGCTGAATGGTTAGAAAATTATACCTATTATTCCGGAAGTGAACCAACAGTATCAGTTAAGGTAAGTTATATATATTGTTTATAATATTTTTTTAAATTCTTTGCAATAACATTACTTGTAACATAAACAATTTGTATAGACCGAAAATAACGATGAAACTGTGGAAACTGTTGGTAAAAAACGTAAAAGGGAAAGCGAATCGAGTACAATAGAGCCAAATGTGTCTATAAAACAAGAAGTGTCTATTAAAGTGGAGGATGCAGAAACATCGTCCCCAAAAGATAAAAAGAAAGAAAAGAAAGAAAAGAAAAAAAAGAGAAAGAAGGAAAAATCGGAAAGCGAAGATTCGACACTTGCGGAAGGTGTAAGTAGGATAATTAGATCAGTTTTTACTATTAGATAATTGCTTTTTACTATTAGGTATATTAGATATATATTATATATTATTTAATGTTTACAGGATTCTTCCGTAAAGAAAGAAAAAAAGAAGAAAAAGAAAAAAAATAAGGATGGAGAAACTGCATCGAGTTAAGAACTTATATTACAAAAAAAAATTAAATTTTTATTTGAAAATAAAAAAATGTTATGAGTGTACTCATTGGTGAGCATCTCGTATGGCCATTTTCTATCCCAGGTTAAGAAGAAAATTTAAGATTAATTGTATGAAATTGTATGCAATGTGTAATTATTAATTTTTTCTTTACGACTACGCTAGATGCATAGCTGAGCACACGTAGTAGATATTAACAATATGTATGTATATATATATATGTGTGTGTATATATATACACATGTATGTGTATATATATATATATATATACACACACGTATATATACACACATGTATGTATGTACATATATACATGTATATGTGTGTGTGTGTGTGTGTGTGTATAACTAGTATTTACTTTATAGAGATCTCATCAATATATCAAATAACAACTGCATTTCCAACTATATCATCTATACATTGTATGGATGCTATTAAAATTAGTAAAGTAATTGTTCCATAGCAATAACAAACTATTCTTTGATTTTTTCAATGCATAATATAAAAGAGTCACTATAATATGTTGTTCTAAATTTGAACTTACACCTTTCGCAAGTATCGAATCTTCGCTTTTTGACTCCTTTTTCTTTCTCTTTTTTTTTTTTCTTTTTATCTTCTGGTGACGATTTCTGCATCCTATGTTTTAATAGATGCTTTTTATTTTACAGACACATTTACGCCTATTGTATTTAACTTACTTTCCCTTTTACGTCTTTTACCAACTGTTTCAATATCAATCGTCATTCAACAAGAAACCACTACAACAGCACGTCGTAGCAGAAAATAATTACACAAATTTAGATATACGATATAATAGATTTATATTAAAAATATCTTATTTTCTTATATAGTAATTTGTTAATTTCCTTTCACAATTCTAACTGCATATTTAAAAGACAAAAGAAATACAATAGATTTTTTCTTTGGCATCATTTAGTATTCTTCCTTTTTTTAAAGATTTGCACGTAGGTATATTGTAAAACTCAAGAATTTATATTCTCACTATTTAACAGTATGAGAGCTCACTATATATACGTTTTTTTTTAATTGTGGCTTAAGTAAAATTATGTATTATAATACTTAGATAGAATTTGAAGTAAAATATGTATTTAGTACATATATTTTAATTTGTATAAAAAAGATCAGATCAAAAGATGTCATTATAACGGTAGTTGTAGTAATTAAGTGTATTACACAACAAAATTCCAGATACGTTGATTATAATCAACATCTTATTTAATAGGGACTTTTACATTAATTATAGATTTCTTAGTTATATGAAATCTATTATATACTTTACTTCTTGTTATGTCACTTTGTATAATATACATGTTATTTGATTTAGCAATCTATATCACTATATCAGATTTATAAAGATATCCTACTATTTTTAATAAAATCTTATGAATTTTATCATGTACATGTCTTCAATTATTTGTAATAGTATTAGGTAAATTGAGAATACAAAATAATGTACTTCTATTTTAGAAAGATGTATATTTCCTTTAAATATATTGCGAATGACGTATTGAAAAACAGTTATTTAAATACAACCGTGTCGAGCATAGCTCCCAAGCATTGAACAATATTTGTAGCCATTAATGTATCAACTTTCTCTTCGAGATGTCGTTTCGGATCTTGTTTCCCTACATTCTTTATAGCTAATTGTTCAGGTGTCATCTTTTCCTCATCTTCCAGAGCCTGTAAAAAAATGTCGATTTCATCATTATTTTGATGCAAAAATACTTTAGTAATACATATAAAGTGAAGATATTATAATTATATATATTATTTTACCTTGTTATAATTTTTCGCGAGTTCAAGCATTTCAGAAACGATATTTTCATTGAGTCGACTGTGCTCGGAATATTCAGCAAGAGTGAGACCATCCATCCATGTCTTTTTATGCAAATTCAGCAACATTTTCTGCTCCAGTTCATTCTTACGATAGTTAATACTAATACTGTAATAATGCCGATTTAGTCCATGTATCAGAGCTTGTACAGATGGTTTCTGCAGGTGGCCTAAATTCGACGTCGTTTGTCTCGGTTCTTGGCCTAAAACCTGCAATCAATGTGGCAGCGATGTTATAAATAGAGAACATAATTCAATCAACAAATATACCTACCATCATGTTTGGATTGATCAATCTAAATGCATCAATAACAACTTTTCCTTTTACTGATTGTATAGGATCAATAACAACAGCTACAGCTCTCTCACTGAGAGCCTCAAAAGATTGCTGAGTATTAATATCTACTCCAGACAACCAGCAGCCGAATCCTGGATGAGAATGGTACCAACCCACTACCATTTCTGGTCGACCAGTCTGCTTCAACATGTCCAACATCTTTGCTTGAAAAACTGGATCAACAGCTTCTACACTGACTCCCTGTGATAATATAAAAATACATTGTCATACAAACATGTATTTAACAAACCATGTGCACCTTTGTATTGCAATATTTACCGTTCCCGTTTGTGGCATAGCAAAAACATCGATAACACGGACAGTATAATCATCAACAAATTCTCCCAACATAAGACCCATCACTTCCATCGGTACTCCAGCACGACCATGTTTAAGCATTTTTAAGAGAGCCAAAGATGATATGTATACCTGATATAAGCAGAGACGATAAGAAAGAGATATTAAGGGAATAAAGAGATAAATGTTTTTGTAAAACATACCTGTTCAGCTGTATCCACGACAGGTGCATCAGAGGGTGGTGGTCCTTGACTCAGACCTGGCATTCCACCACCTAACCGTAATAGCCTATCCATCTTGCTGTATCGATCGAATTTTATATTCTGCAAAGATACAAAAAGTACACACGATTACTCACATAAACTCCCAGAAATTTCAAGCACCAAGAAATGTCATCGCACTATATATAGAAATTTAAAGGTTAGAGAAAGAACGCTACGTGTATTTCGGATATTTCAAACCTCTCCAGTAACTATTGAATGATTTTATATTCGATTAAGCTGTAATACGCATTCTTACGACAATTTATTCTTAACAACGGAATTCCTTCTTTATAATAAGCAGAACGAACATTCCTCGACGCGTCGCCGCTGACAAGTCTCAAATGTGCAAAATCACGAGCGCAGTCTGTTGGTTATCTTCGTGAGAACTCATCGCAATCGTGATCATAACAATGAAAGAGGAGGAAACACATCACGAATCCAAGATAGGAAGAGGACCTAAGGGTTTGGGTAAAATTTTAATTTTAATTTACATATGAGTCATAAGTAATAAATATAACAAGAGAATGAAGTAAATTCGCCACTGTTAAAATATTGCGGAAAATTAAAAACCGTCAATAAGAGGTTATATTTCAAGCAAATTGAACAATCAAGCTCAAATGATAGCAAAATCTGTGATTACTAAACTTGTTGACATACGCACAAATAAATATTGCTTATACATCATTTTTTATAAATTTATGGATTATGAAACGGTTTGTACTTGTTTATATTTTTACTGTAATTTCAGGTGATCCTAATGACCGGAGTTTAAGAAAGGTAGAGAAAGATGTGTTAATACCTAAATTAATGCGAGAAATAACTAGGGCAGAAAAATGTGCCAACGAAGTTAATGGTAATAGTTTATTTTATTATCAGCATGAATAATATGCAACAATTATTATCTTTCTTTTACAGACTTTAATGAGTGCTGTGTAAATTTTGGATTGAGAATGATCATAAAATGCAGGAAAGAAAATGCACAGATGAAAACATGTATGGAAAAGTGGTATTACAATGATGACTTTATTAAAGAATGCACAGAGCAATATTTGAACGAAAGGTCTGAATACAGGAGAACTGGAATACCTAAAAAGGGAAGAAATAAGAGATTGGAAACATCATTATAGAACTAGAGATAGAAAATAGATAATACAAGGATTGTTTGCTGTTATCATTTATTTTCCCAAATATAATTTCTGTAATTGACATATAAAAAATGTTTTTGAATAACAAAAATGAAATAAAAAATGGTAGAATATTGTGTAAATTGTTCTTCCTATTATTTTCATAATAGGAATAGAGTGAATAATTATAAGTTAAAATTATACATAGGATTTTTACATAGGATTCTTTCTAGTCACTTATTGTACAAGATGTGGGTGGAATATATATCCCATTTTGAATAAAATTTTTTATTAAACAAGTGATAAAATTTAATTCTTAGAACTACAAATGTTGATCTAACTCAGACTTTTCAAATTCTCTAACTGAACTTTTTCTAATTGGCAATTATTTATCTCTCTAATTTTATTTACTATTGTCTCTTATTCTACTTACAGGGAATTGCTATATATAAAAATTGTCAATTATAAAAATATGGTAAATCTTCTTTTCCACTAAGAATTTTACATATGGCATCACTATATAAGAAGTAGGAACTAAGCTATTTAAATAATATTATTCAATTTTGGTGATTATATTGATTAAGATCCACGTGGAGGCTATGGTTTCGTAAGACCATTTGACCGCCGAACACCCAACAACCGTCCACGAACGCGCCTCACGTCACATCATCTCCCGTAACAAGCACGGTATTAAGAAGAGGTGGGGATGTGGCGTTCGGTTTAGCTGAGCTTGCTGATGTGGAAGCTGAAGATTCGCAGGAAAAGTCTCGTTGTTCGCATTCCCGGTGGGAATTTTCGCTTGTCCTGACGTTCAGGAGCTTTACACTGACGCCGGGTCTCGCGGTTTATTGTGTATTGAGTGTATTTATTTTTCTTTTTCACTCCGATACGCTTCTGTGGAATGCGAAAACTCATGTTCTTCCAAACTTTAATCGGTTTTTCCATCCTGGCAACGGCGATTCCAAAGCCAGACGAACATCGTATTTTGAGCAAGGTTAGCAAAAACCTGATATTTTTAATTTGTATTTTGTTTAGGTTATTATGTGAAAGTCACTCGTCAGTATAAGTTTTTCAATATCTGATGAGTAGACTTTATTTAGTCTGCTTGAAATCTATATTGTTTTTATTATAATATAATAAAAATTATAAGAAACAAAAAATATATAAGATAGATCAATATATGTTATATTTCAGGATGTGAGTAATGAAGATCACTATATAAATTCACAACATAATCCAGCCTATGATCATGAAGCTTTTCTTGGAGAAGAAGCAAAAACCTTTGATCAACTTACTCCGGAAGAAAGTACTAGAAGATTAGGAATAATTGTTGACAAAATTGACAAGGATAGCGATGGCTATGTTACACAAGAGGAGCTCAAAGATTGGATAATGTATACTCAGAAACGTTACATTAGAGATGATGTAGAGCATCAATGGAGATCTCATAATCAACAAGGAAAAGAAAAGTTATCATGGATAGAATACAGGGCAATGGTTTATGGTGATATGGATGAACATGAGAAAGAAAGACAGGATAAATCAGATGATGATTCTTTTTCATATCTTACTATGCTTAAAAGAGATCGCAGAAGGTGGACCACTGCTGATTTAGATGGTGATGATGCTCTAACCAAAGAAGAATTTACTGCCTTCCTTCATGCTGAAGAGGCAGAGCATATGAAAGATGTAATAGTACTAGAAACAATGGAGGATATTGATAAAGATGGAGATGGAAAGATATCTCTTGCAGAATATATTGGTAAGTAAAATTTATCTCTTCTGAAAATTGAATTAAGTAGTTCTTTGATTGAAGCTTGTATTTTGCCTGCAGGCGATATGTACAAAGGCAATGAAGGTGAGGAGGAACCGGAATGGGTGAAGAATGAGAAGGAACAATTCTCCTCATACAGAGATAAAGACAGTGATGGATTTTTAAATGCTGATGAGGTCAGTCGCGTTTATATATATATTTTTTGTATCACTTATGCAATTGTTATGCAAAAAGTATATTCTGTATGTAAAATATATGTTTACCTTATCGATTGATCTTTGCAATGCTCTATATTCAAATGTAAATTTTGGTTAAAAACAGGTAAAAACGTGGATTATTCCTGCGGAATTCGATCACGCAGAGGCGGAATCTCGACATTTAATTTATGAAGCAGACACTGATGCCGATCACAAACTTACGAAAGACGAGATTTTAGAAAAATACGATGTATTTGTTGGGTCTCAAGCTACAGATTTTGGCGAAGCGTTGACGAGGCACGACGAGTTCTAAGGATATAATTTCAGAAAAATTGCTATTAAACAAATTACTTATAATGATCTACTTAAAATTTTACAAATCATGAATCACTTATGAAAAATATTTATCCATTTATTCTAATAAATGTGTTTTTATGTTATTGACATCTAATATAGATCTAACATAGACATGTAATAGATAATAATTTAATAAAAAGAAATATATAATAGATAGCATAGAGAGATATAAGAGAAGGAAATGTGCATAAAATGCTATATCTGCCAAAAATTATAAAGAAGTTAGCTATTGTTATAATAAACTTTTGATATTGTCATTGTATTAATTCTTGTTATTATTCTCTTTAAATAAGTAAGGTAAAAAATTATATCCTTAATCCCATCAGCTGTGACGTCACGCTACCCCGATAACGATTGTCTGATAATTCGATATCTAGAATATGGCTATTATTGTATGACGATTAGATCAGATTGATCAGATAAGACCCAAATGCCGTAGTGTTAGCGTGAGTAATATCTGAAACACCATTGCGCGAGTTAACGCGCAAAAGCAAAACGAAAATGAAAAAAATTTATACGGCGATAGTGTTAGCAATTTATACTTACAACATATTTTTGGGTAAGCAATATATTTATTCTTCTTCACAAGTCTTTACGACGTTATGTCCCAATAATATTTATAAATTGCACACTGAGAAAATACAAATATCAAATAACGCTGCATAGCACACTTTCAGGCCATCATTACTAGCAATATATTCATTCACAGCTCGTTAGCTATTTGTGAACAGTTGTCAATCTCTCATTTGATAATTAGCGGATAAAAATTGATCGTTAAGACACCTAAACGTATATGATACGCTTATGTACATATACATATATATATGGCACATTAAAACAGTTTATATTATAAATTTGTAATCACACACATCAGACATAAATTATTATATAAAAATATGGAGGAAACTTGATTTTATTTATATTACATTATATATGTGTGAATAAGAGTAAAATATTAACATGCTAATTGAATTCACTGAATGCTTCACAAGTTTATCGATATTTTATATGATCCAATGTTAATTACAATCTATTTTTCATGTAGCAATAGGTTTAAGTGAACGGTACTGCTTTCAATTTACATGGCCAGGTTCAAATAATCTAACTGTCAATTGTACTAATAATATTCCTTGTGTGAAGCCGTTTTATTATAGTAAGTAACTTTCGTTTTCGCCTGTTAATTATCGACTTTCGACTGTTAATCACTAATAATACTTTGCAATTTTCCAGACATTTCGAAACCAAATACAAATGAAATATGGAACAAATACAAAGAGAGAGTAGAAGAATCAAATTATTTTTGCAAATTAAATTCCGATGTTTGTATAAGATACACATACATATACAATGACGCAGGTAAAATTATATTTTATGATATAATAAAAGACCAACTCAGATTTTACAGTCATATGTAGTTAATGAAAATACTATCTGCAGTGGTGAATGTCAGTTATTTTTGTGGAAAAGTTATTGAAGACCAAACATCACCAATTACATTGGGGTGTTATGCTCAACATGTATGTATTACAAGCTATTCACAATTAAATTTATATAATTATACGCCTATAAATTAGCATTTCTTAATAATGAGATATGTATATAATTATGTGAATACTAAAAAATTATTTTCTTTTTTATATAGACTGAAGGATATACTATTGAGGCTTGTGCTTGTCAGTCTAGAAACAACAGTATGCCATGCAACGCAATAAAAAATACATATTCGATATTCATTACCATTGGAGCTACAGCTGTGACATTGTTCATGTATAAAATCTTTAATATTTCCTGACACTACCGACTTATTTCACTTATCTGATATGAATGAAATTGTACGAATTACATACATTTAATATTTATTATAATTTATATGCGATATATCAATTAAGCGTATATCTTTTTACAACTTCATAGAACACGCAATATAATTCAAATTATATACAGAGATGAACAAATTATATATTTTGTAATCGCGCGTTAGAAAATAAATATTTATGTCGGGAAATTAGGAAGAGTAGATAAACTTTAAAATAATTATAACATATATAACAAAGTTGACTACAAGTAAGCAATTGAATCTTATATTAAAAGTAATATACTTTCTTAAGAGAATATGTATACATATATATCATTTTATGTATTCAAAAGATGTTTCAACCTTAATTATTATATATGGAAGTATTATAGATCGTATCTCTTTAATTACAATGTTACATTTTCCCAACGAAATAATACTTATTAACAGAAAAAGTGATAAAATTAAATATGGCAACTTATATAAAAAAAGGTAGGACTTATTCGCACATTTGAAGCAATGAATTAATTGTAACATCTTTCTTTCCATGATTAGCATCATATACTGATTTGATAACTTCTTTGTCAACATTTGGAAACATTTCTGCAATCTGCAAAATATGATTATAATTATGAAAATACATTGCGTCAAACAAAACTATAGATGAATTATATGTTCAATACCTGTTTCAACTCAACTTCAGCATTTGGCAAAGAACTTGGTACAACTGATGGTGCAACAACAGCTGGAGGTGCTGTGTAAACATTCACTGGAGCATATGGCATACCAAACATTGTTGCAGAGGGTACCATCATTATCGAAGAGGAACCCATGTATGGTTGACATTTATTCTATGAAAAAACATTGAATCCAAAAAAGGATTTTAATGCATTTATGGAATTTTTATATTCAAAAAAACATTAAATTTTACTAGCTATTTAACAGCAATCTGTTGGTTTAAAATATTGTTTCAAATTGACAATAATAGAAAAATGATCAAAATGAATATATTATTTATACCGTATAACTGAAAACTAAGTTGATCATGCCTTCTTGATTATCTCCTTGCTTTCCACTAAGTGTGTACCAATCCTCATGTGTCTCACCCTTTTGAATAACATGTGGTGGAATTTCTATGTGCCCCCATGCAATCAGCTCATCCATCACAAAGGAACATTCATCATAAATTTCTACATATATTTGGGTAACTCCAGGTGGAAGTAGGCTGCAATACCAAACATTCCAATATTTAAAAGAGATATTTGTATGTTCAAATATGCAAATGCAGAATGTGTCTTTACCATTGAATGACTTTGTTCCAATGTGGATTTTTTCCTCCATTTGAATTTGTATGTGTTTCATATACTGCATGTCCCACTCGTAATCTTACGTAAGGATCCATTTTTGTCATTCCATAATTTTTTACTAATTTGGCCTGAAGAGACATTGCTTCTTAGTAAATGTCACTTTTGCTATAAGAAGATACAAGTATAATACAAAAATGCTTACCTGAGCAATTGTTACACTAAGTCTGCCTATTCGAGGATCATGAGCCATTGGCATATTCTGCATCTGTAGTTGTTGAAGAGCTAAAGCAGCTTGTTGATCTGCTGCTTCCTGTTGCATTTGTGCATTATGTTCCTCTATTCTTAAGAAACTATCTGGTAAAGGTCCCACAAATGCCTATATATTTGATTAGAACAAAATTTAACAATTAAAATATGTGTCAAATATATCATGCAATTTTAGTATCATATATTTCAAATAATATTTCAAATAAAATAGTGTTCAAGAATTAACAAAATTATCGATATAAATATATCCAGCTGTATTTCTTTTAATATATTCAAGTTTGCTTCCTCCAAATACGTCTAATCTACTTAAAAGCATACGCGCAATAACACAACATTTATAATGCTTCCCATTATTACATTTGTCAAGTGAATTTGTATTTACCCGTTTTTTCCAGTCTTCATGTAACGGCCTGTCTGTGTCCATGATGATGGAAAATGTTATAAAAATATCTCCTACAAGATCTCTTTCCAAATCACTGTTTATATTCTACATGCAGTACAATTCAATATTCATCAAATACGTCAAATCATGCAATTGTGCATGCCTCGAGATGCCTCGAAACAAATATGTCGCGACAGAACTCGATCAACTCGAGCACGGTTACCGATTTTGACAATCGAGATACCATAGGGATGAAATAGGGATTTTTCTTTTACCATATGAAAAATGGCTGCGTTCGGTAGAACAAAATGATCAGTGAGCGCTTAGTGATTATTGTCTGTGATTGGAGCATTTGTTTAGATTCTTCATAGACCCAGAAGTATTTACCAATCAGGAGCGAGAATCACTAAGCGCTCACTGATCACTTTGTTCTGCTGAACGCAGCCAATGAGAAATTTTCATGTTGCGACTAAAGCCAGCGGCACACGGTACTTGTTTTCGTGCTGGATGAAATCCGAAGATGGATGGAAATGCACCAATCAGAACGCAGTATTTTCATCCAGCAAGCAATCCAGCACGAAAACAAACACCGTGTGCCGCTGGCTTTATTGAACGTCGTATGTCGGATGCTTTATCTAGTATGAGGCCTGGTCTACAATAGGTGTTGTAAACTGTAAGCCGTAAGAACTGACCAATTATAGCTGATTATTTTTGTAATAATCGACTGTGATTCGCCAATTCTTACGGCTTACAACTTACGACACGTATTGTAGATCAGGCCTGAATCCTTCATTAGCCTAAAGTAGTAATCACACTAGCAATTGCTGATTGGATTGCAATTGTGATTGGCGATTTATTTTCCAACCAATCAGGGCAAAACAAGCATCGATTGAGATTGGTGGTTGCCGATTAGACAATGTTCTATTTTAATCGCCAATCACAATCGTTAGTGTGATTACGGCTTAACGGAAAATGAATCGCTAGCCATGGGTACATACATATATGAAAGTTGGCATTCCTATCACAATCCGTGAAGATCCATTTGAGGTTATAAATTCGAAATTTTTGTAGCTCGAAAAATATTCTGATGTATAAATATCTCGATGCGAGTAATTCCAAATAAATTGATGCAGAGTGGAGTAACATAGAGATAGAAGATATGTTCGAATGCTTAATCTAATCATGGATTTCTTGGGTGAAATATTAACTTTCGGAATTGATTCTGTCATATTTGCTATTTGCCTAAAACAATATATTTATTACAGAAATGCGGTTAAGGCAATTCAAGTAGGTGATGTTTTTAAAGTTATAAATTCTAATTAAACTAATGTCTACTTTATATACAAAAAAAAATATGTTAAATACATCAGGAACAATTTGGAAAATCATGTTTTTTTCAGAATGTTGAGCTGTATGATGGACCAGATCTAGATAATGTAGTAAATAATAATATAAACAATAAAATACATCATGTAGCTGTCAGAGGACTTGTAAAACCATTAGGAGAACCACTACAAAGCATTAATAAAAAACATGTCCTTGGAGTCATACAAAAGCTTAGTATCAAAGAACATGTTATTGCTAGAACATCTGCTGGTTTTTGGTAAGATAAAATGATATGATTCCTTAGCTATATCATTGCACATAATACTTTTTTAAATATTATATTCTAAAACATTGTATACATTGTACATATTTGAATATTATTACATTGTAACATTGTATACAACAGGTCTGATCAAACACGAACAATGCAGAAAATATTTAATGTGATACCATTTGTTTTAAAAAAAGATTCTTTTTCTGTGGAAGTAATAGATCCGTTATCTGCTGATATCTTAGATTTGGATGTAATTTCTGATCATTATGAGCCGATTGTTCCTACAGTATTGGATCATGTATGGGGGTTTTTAACAGGTGATTATGACAGAATATGAGACTATTCTGTGTGTGTGTGTGTGTATATATATATATATATATATATATATATATATACATTAGTATATATATATAATAGGATATTGTACAGTAATATATTCTTAATTATTGTAATTATATCAATATATGTATTATTAGGAGTACGTCAGCGTGGTGTGCAAACCACAGAGAAAATGTTGCGTGTAGATTCAATTATTACAATAATAGGTGAGCTTTCAAAGTCAGAAACTAAATCTGACATGCTTACTTTGCAATCTCCATTAAATGGATCTCCTTTTTATATAACAAGCATGTCACTTCCCACTCTGATACGGAAACTTGATGATCATAGGAAAATATACAGGTATATATATATAAAAGATTATAATACTTGAAAAAAAATTACAATATGTAATTAAATATATAACTTTTTAAATGTAGGGTTATATGCATAATATGTGGCACGATTGGATTATTAATTGGAGGAACTGTCATGAGACGTTATTGGAAGGACAAAGAGCAGAAAAGAATAGCAGAAGAATTGCGACGTACCCTTGAAATCTCTCGCAGACAAAGACGACAAAGAGTCAGAGATACAGATCTCAGAACAGATCAGATATGTGTAATATGCAATACAAATGCACGCGAAATTATTTTATTGCCTTGCGGTCATGTATGTATATGTGAAGATTGTTCAGATAGCATCAACAACAATTGTCCAATTTGTAGAACACCAATTATGCAAAAAGCAGCTGCATACATTATATAAATTTTATTTTCAAGTATATCTTTTATGATAAAATTTAGTAAATGCTATTACTGTAATATAAAACAAATAGGATATGAAAACAAAAGAAAATTCAATTAAAATGATATTATTTGGAATTGGTGTAAATATTAATTGATAAGAAGTATTTTGTATCATATATATGTATACACACATATATATTAAATATTATATATACATTGCAATAATTATAATTGTAATCATTACAATGTGTATATATGTATATATATGCCAATTATGTATTAATATTGAATATAATATTGATTTAATATTGAAAAGATATCTCAGTAATAGGTTTCTAATATAATAGGATCTTTATTATAAGAGCTAATGATTTCGAGAAAATGAGTAATTTAATGTTTAACGAGTATCTTTATGAATGAATTGTTAGTATAAAGTTTTTAAAGGAAACGTATATGATAAATATATTAACTTACCTCAAATATGACATGTAGTTGAATGACCAACTGAATACAAATAAAATATATATTTTATATAAAAATACTATATATGTTGTTTGCACAATTATATATTTGGAAAAAATCTTAAAAATTTATACTTTGCAATCTGTTTCTTTTATCTGTGTTGTTTGTATCCAAATTCATAATCTTTTTAGCTTTACTACATTTGCCAATACCAAGTTTTGGCAGTCCTCTATTCAAGCCTTCTAACAAAACACAAGCTTTACATATTTCTTGACTTGAAACAAATCCACATCGAGTACAATTTCTTCTCTCTGGCATTTTTATATTATCTTTTACTTGTAACTGTTCACCTAATATACCATTAAAAATATTAACAAACCTTATAATATCCTGTTTACTCTAAATAATAGAGTAAAATATGTTGAAAGAATATATTCTTACCTGAATGTATTATATCTATAATAGTTGAAGGTCTTATTTTCTCTAAATCTTTTAGGAAAGCTCTTGCATAACCTCTGTAAGCATTCGGAGCATATATGCATTCAGTGGAAAAATATACCAAATGCTTAAAATATGCATACATAACAATTTCTTTTTCATATGCATATTTTAGTGGTTTACATCTCATAATGGAATCTGCACCTGCCTATATTGCATGAAAATATATGTATTAATCTTTTATCATAATCAATCGTGTCATAATTACACATGCAAAAACAATATATCCTTACAGTTATTACAGATGTGCATCTCTGTAATCTAGCAATATCACCTCTCAGGACATTCATTAACACAGTTTCTGCGATATCATCCGCGTTATGACCTGTTGCAATGCAATCTACTCCTAATAGTGCAGCTCCTCTATCTAATGCTTGTCTTCGAAAAACACCGCAAAATGTGCAATTATTTTTACGACCAATCTGAAATATATATTGTTACAAATATCTACTACAATATAAACATAAGCTATTTTACCTCTGCAACAATAGCATCCATTGTCCATCCATACAATTCCTTATATGACAAAATTTTAAGCGGAATACTATAATCATCTCTATTTTGCATTACAGTTTTCAAACTGTCATCTCTATATCCTAAAATTATATATTTTATGGAATATATAACATAGATTTTATAATATATATATATATATATAATATAGATATATATTTTATGGAATATATAATATAGATTATATATATACATAATGTTTGAATATTTTGTAAATGTTGACATGAGATAACAATTTTATTACCAGTAATTCCTTCATCAATGGATAAAAGAAACAGATCCAATTTATATTTGTATCTTTCATTTAAAGTCTTTAAAATATATGCAAGTACTGTTGAATCTTTTCCACCAGATGCTCCAATAGCAACTTTGTCACCGGGCTTAAACAGTTTACCATTGATAATAGTGTCATGAATCTCTGTTTCAAATGCTAAGAAGAAACAGTCTTTGCACAATGTATCACCAGTTTTTGGTCTCTAGAAATGTTTTGTCATATTTAATCAAAATAATTAATCATACTTAATTATAATAATCATAATTATATATGTTGTGTAATATTGTTACCTTTAGAATAGCGTTTTTTCCACAATTTGTGGAGCATGAGGCAGGCATCGTAGTTTTTTAATTTTTCTTGAATAAAGTATTATTATGTGGTAACTTATTCGAATAATATAATGTAAGATTATATTAAAAAAAGATTTTTTACCACTGATGCAAAATTCACGATTAATTAGGTTAGGTATTCACGATGCATATGTATGTATTGAACAAGTAGTTACGCAAGGAGAAATCTCGTCACACTGGTTACACAACGTAATTTTTTGAAAAAAGAAAAAAAATCAATAATGTGACACAATATTGCGTTAGAGTTTATCACACTGTAAAAATGTACGATGAAACAAGTACGATTTAATCTTCTGGTTTCTCAGGCGGCGGTCCGCAAGGTTGTAACATCTTCTCCATAAGATTGAACCTGACACGTGCCTTGGCCTCGTTCTCAGCGATCGCAAAGAAGTTCAGTAAATCGTAATGGCCCATATACGAACTGCAGGAATCACGATGCTGATTCACAAGCCATTCAAACTTGGTCGTATCTGCGTGCCCTGTGCCAATATATTTCGACTGCAGATGTTCCAATTGACTGTGAATGTTGTAACGTTCACCCATTTCTTAAATAGCTTTCTTTCTCTTGATGGTTCTAAAGAACGCGCAACTCCTCTTTCCACGTTCTGTTCCGATTTGCAAGTCCACTTCGTCAGATAAGGTTAGATTATAGCTTCCGATATTCACTTCCAGTACTGAAAATACATAATTTGTGTCACATATACTATAGATTTTCAGTGCTGACAGTGAATAGATCTGTTTTTTATCGTTGAACTAGTGTACACTCAGGGAATATAAAAAAAAATAGATATATATTTAGGAGTTAGTGAAAGGGAGAGGAGAAGAGAATAAGTGTAAGTTAGTGCAGTCAGTTCAGCAATAAAAAAAACAAACCTAGGTATCTATTAAGCCCGTATCAGACTATGGATTGGGATTGAGATTAGATTGAAATTTGACCAATTGAAAAAGAGAAAATAATCTCAAGTATAGTAAACTTACTCCTGATTGGTTAAATTTCAATCCAATACTCAATCCCAATCCGTAGTCTGATACGGGCTTTATAGAACTCGTCGGAATCGATTCCGATGGAATTTATTCTGTTATTTCCCAGAATTCTATTGTCTTTTCTAGGGGAAACGGAATTATTCCGATCGGAATCGATTCTAACAAGTTCCATGATAAGTACATACCCAAAAGGCTCGTCTACAATAGCTGTAAGAGTAAGGCTGTAAGGCTGTAACGTAAGCTGTCAGCGAATGAAAATATTTAATTTCGTGTCTTGCAACCTTACAGCCTTACTCTTACAGCTAATGTAGACGAGCCTTAATATCGGAACGTAGCCTGCATTACACTCGATATAACGGAATTTACGCCATTAAAAATAGGACTCCTTTTTCGAAGAACTTTTGAACACATTAGTGCAATAAGTTAGAATGAGAGAAAATATATCTGCTTCGTTTTAAATTATGCCCGTTTCTATCAACCTTGTTTAACCTTGTTGTTTAACTTTACCGGCTGGTTATTTCAACAAAATTGGCCAATCGCATCTGTCATTAATTAGAATTGACAAGTGCGATTAGTCAATTCCGATAAAATAACTAATCAGTTAAATTAACTATAGTTGATAGAAACGGGCACTATTGCACTAGTTCAAAAGTCTGACGAAAAAGAGAAGACTAATATTTACACAAACTTTACGATGTAAAGATTGATGGCTCATCAGTCGTTTTAAATGAATAATTTCAATTTCTCGGGCGAACTTACAGTCCGTTTAAGATTCATCAAAATCTCAGATATTGCAAAAATTCGTATTGTCGAGTAATCTAATTGGTTATTGAGGCCATGTTCTAAAATTCACTGCCAGCGTTGAAAAGTTATAATTTGCGTGACACAAACTATATATTTTCAGTACTGGCAGTGAATTTTGGAACACGGCCTGAGTCGAGTGGTCCAGAATATCGAGAAATTTTAAACAACTGCAACCAATCCGAGTGTAGCGACGACAAATTCCTCTAGAATTTAGCGACTTCGTTTTCTCGCGTACCGTCGCGTTTCAACACTCGCCGCGCACAGCAGCACCGTGCAGTCACATTACGTCACACGATGATGACGTGCTAATGGTTAATGGCTTCCACTCGGTCGAGCTAGCTTTTATGAGCGAGCTACATTCAATCCAAAGAAAACACATGAGATATGATGCGATCGACTGCTAAAATCATAAAAATATGATTGTCTGAGAGCCGTAAAGTCACGATAGCATTAAATTTCTGACCAGACGCACCACGTTCATCTGCGAATTATGTGCTGAAAATCTCGGGTCTGCACGAAGGAAGCAACGACGGGACGACGTAACCACCGTTACGCACCTCTCATCGATCCTACGTGCTGGTTTCGGCCCTGATGCGAAGGACACCGTTACTTGCCGCGACTTTGCAGGACACAAATCGCACGTGAGTAAATGATTGTACAATCTTGTGTTCCTGTCGATTCGCGGTTACTCGGGATAGTCTCCCTGGAAAAAGAAACTGGGCGAGTCCCAATGGGTCGTCGTGTAAAGCAATGGCGGCCGCGTTGGCTCGTCTGAGCCAATTCGTGACCTCGCGTTATCAACGTCTACTGCCAATTCTGAGCCCGTGTTTGTCTGTCCTCCACCGATTGTCGTGCGCCTTCGATCCCAACGTGCACAGCACGATGAATTAGCATAGTACGACCATTCCGCAGGAGAGGTAATCGCGCCGTTTCACGATATCACTATGTTCTCGCGTTCAATGTGTGCGTGCGTGAACGAGCGCACACGTCTGCTGTGTGCGTATGTACACGTGTGGCTATGTGTTGTGCGTGATTGTACATATTCATGATGATCGGCCTCTAAGTGTGAGACACGTTCTAGCAATAACTTTATTACTTCTGACCGTTGCGTTTTTACGGATACGATGGTAAGCCGGACAAAAATGTAATACGTGTATGTCGTCGTTGTAGCCCTGCTGATTGAATTTAGGGAGAGATGCCAGCAAGTACAACGATGTAAAATCCCAGAACGGAATATTATTGTCTCCTAGAATTAATTGAACAATAAAGAAAGTGATACATATAGTATATATGTTTTAGGTAATCACATATGTATTTAACCATAGTTATATATTTTCATCACAAGTATGCAATACTTTTCTACCACAAAATGAAAAGCATTCAAAGCTAAAAGAACATTCACTTATGCTTTATTTCATCTTATTTATCTATAATACACAGTGTCTTTTTATATGATTGTTGTATTGAAAATATATGTGTAAATATATTGGATGAATGTATATCATTTATCAGTACTTTTATATTTTTAGTAGGTGACATGCCTCGAGAGGTTGATCATAATGGGAGATTTCGCTCGCGCAGACGAGGCAGCACAGGTAGCGATGTGAACCGGCACAGCTTTGAGAGCAATGATAAGAGACATCGCAGACATGGCAAAAGTAAGAGCTCTGGCAAGAAAAAGAAGAAACGTTCGCGCGACAAGTCTGTAGAAAACGTGCCAACTGTTGCATCGTCTATTATTAAACCTCTGGTGGAGTATTCAGATGTGAGTAGTGAAGATCTGTCTGAGCCTGAAGCCGGAGAAATACAGTCGGAGGACAGTCGTGGCAATAGTTACACAGATGGTGAAGTACCTGAGCCACTCCTTCAAAGGCGATATTATGGTGGCAGTCCTGTTCGCCCTCTCGGAATATCGCCGATCAGCTTGTCACCGTCTCCGCCGCCTTCACATCGGCATTCTGGTAGGCATTATTCACCGAATGAACAACAACAACAGCCGACTACGATACACGGTGCAACATCCGAGTATGAGGAGGAATCGAGGCGATACGCTCGACGAAAGGAGAAAAAGCATAAGCGGGAAAAGAAGAAAAAGAAGAGCCTCAGTCCTTCGTCTAATTCTAGCAAGAAGAAGAAAAGAAAGACCAAGAGGCATTCTCACAGTGTAAGTCCTCATGGAAACGTGATGGTGACTGAGGAGATCGTCGCAAGCCCGGAGCGTGAGAAAACAGGCACTAATTGGTCGGAATCGCCACCATTGCCGCTGAAAGATAACATGTCGCCAATCTCACCAGCGACGCCGCATGAGCAAAGATGTCTCAGCGACGTGGAAATAGAGATGTCGAGGCAGCCGCGAAATATTACGCCGCCTCTTTTACCGTCAATGCGGCAAACAGAATCACCACATACTCCATTACTACCTCCGCGCGCTATGACGCCGGAAAGTAACAAAGTCTCACTGAAGCACAGTCCTGATCGTGGACGGGACAAACGTAGTCCCAGCATTCACGCACGACGTAGCAGTGGCAGCCCAGGACCAGCCGCGATTGGTTCCGGCCGTAGAAGGCCCCATAGCCCAAGCCCGCCGTCGAGACGAAGGGACCATAGTCCGCCACGAAGAAGAGAATTCAGTCCTGTGCCAGTCCTTCATAATAGACTCAGGCATAGTCCGAGTCCTGCTACGGTCAGACGACGCGAATTCAGCCCCAGCCCTGTGAGTCACAGACGACGAACAGAAACAATGAACTCTCCACCTTCTAAACGTAGAAGACGAGAGGATTCTGATCGACGTCACAGACATCATGAAAAAGACAGGAGGGATAAGCGAAAATCGAGATCCACTAGAAGCCCAAGCAGGTATGACTTTTTTACTCCGTTCGAGATTACTTCGTTTCTCCCCCCTCCCTCTCTCGCTCTCTGTAATGTAAATTAACAAATAAATTAAATACGTTTTGTATGTATTCACTCAACATCGTCTTTCTAATTTCAGATTACACGTACCTCTTTCCCGATCACGATCTCGCAGTCCTGGCAGATGGCGAAAGCTCTCTCGCTCGAGGTCGCATTCACGCAGAAGAAGTCGCACCCCGAAGAAATCGCGCTCGCCCAGCAAGACCCATAAGTCGTCAAGGAAACATAAATCAAAGAGCCCTCGTCCGAGAATACCCTCTCCTTCTCCTCACAGGTCTAGGGCCAGAAGCCCATCGAGCATCACTGCTCGAAATCTTAGAGTACAAGCGAAAATCAGCGAAACTAGCTTGTTCGCGGAGCTCGTGAAGGACCGGAATATGAGGGAACTCGCGTACAAAAAGCTACAGGCTGCGAAGGAGAAGGCCGTCAACCAAGATGAGGTGCAAATCATAGAGGGCACAGAAGAGAAGGACAGCAGCAACGCGTCCACTGAGAACAAAGCTTCCATTGACAATAAGGACAAACCTGTGAATAACAAGGACCAGCTCGTCAAACTTGGCGGCGAAAGCACAGCAAAGTGCGTCGACATCGTCGACATTCCCGTGCCGACGAGCGACGACAGCGGTCTGTCTGGCAAAACGCCGCCGTTACCGGCTAACCAGCCGACGATACCACCAGCTTCGACATCTGCAGCGAATTTGACTCCTCACGCGATTGCAAATACCTCACCCACCGTGTCCGCAGTATCCAATAATTGCCCGGTCGCCGTCTCCCAGAGTCCGAACTTCCCTGCGCACACAAGTGTACAGCAACCGCCCCCACCGCCACCACTGCCGCAATCCGAGTCCACGTCGACAGTATTGCCACCAGTGTCTTTGCCTGTTTCGGCTATGTCTGTGCCAATTCCACCGGCACCAGTCTTACCGAACATGTCTGTTCCACCGCCACCTATCCCAATTCCAGTACCGGCGCCGAACACGATCATGTCTAAGTTCAATGCTCCGAATAATCTGGTTCCTCTGAAATCGGTGGATCCGCCTAAGCCTCCCATAGTAGCCTTCAAAACGAAGAGTCTTTCGAGATTGCCATTACCACCTGGAATCAATCAGAACGATTTGGAGAGCATCGATTCCCCGCCGAGTCGTTCTCCAAGTCCGCCCAGTAAGACGCAGGTAAAGTTCCCAACTTCGACACCAAAACTGCCGCAGAAGAAGAGCATCAAAGATCTACCGATGCCACCAGGTAAATTTTATTCGACTCGTTGCACTGTTTATACGTTAAATATTGGTATTATTGTAGCAATTGATTGCTTAAATTGTAGTCGTACCCGGATCAGAAGATTTGAGCGGCGAGGACGACCCGAACGCGACTCCACCGCGTTTAAAGATGGAACGAATGGCACCGAAACCGAAACTGAAGAGACCAAAAATACTGAAGCGACGCGGATCGCGAAACTGTCATACTCCTACGTTAGCCTCCGGCGGCAAAGATTGGGGTGAACGCTGCGTGGACGTGTTTGAATTCATCACACAGATCGGAGAGGGTACTTACGGACAAGTATACAAAGCGCGAGATAAGAGGTCCAGCGCGCTTGTAGCCTTGAAGAAAGTTCGGTTGGAGAATGAGAAAGAGGGCTTCCCCATTACAGCAGTTAGAGAGATAAAGATCTTACGACAACTCAATCACAAGAACATTGTTAATCTTAGGGAAGTTGTCACTGACAAACAGGACGCACTGGATTTCCGAAAGGTACATTTATTGGCAAAATCTTTCCCATAACCAGTCTGATCTATGATAACTACAAAATTATGAAAGTGTACAATTATCTTTCGTTTTTCAGGATAAAGGTTCCTTTTATCTAGTTTTCGAGTATATGGATCATGATCTAATGGGTCTTTTGGAATCCGGTATGGTGGATTTTAATGAGATGAATAACGCCAGTATCATGAAGCAGCTCTTGGATGGTTTGAATTACTGTCATAGCAAGAATTTTCTGCACAGAGACATCAAATGTTCGAACATATTGATGAATAACAAGTGCGTCAGCATTATCAAGAATGATAATTGTTTTTCCTTTTTTTTTTTCTTCCCTGAATAATCTTATTTAATCACGAACTTTGTAGAGGGGAGGTTAAACTGGCTGATTTCGGATTGGCGCGACTTTATAACGCAGAAGATCGACAGAGACCGTATACCAACAAAGTGATTACTTTATGGTACAGACCTCCTGAACTTTTGTTGGGAGAGGAACGTTATGGACCTGCGATTGATGTGTGGAGCTGTGGATGTATATTGGGAGAATTGTTTTGGAAAAAACCTTTATTCCAGGTAAATATTAATGTAGGTGGATAGTTATCTCTTAAACTTACTTAAAAAACTTGAAAAAAGGAAAAGTAATTATGAATTATAATTTACTTATAATTACATTATATATACATATATTATAAATATTTATAATTAATTCGTGATACTAGGCCAATGTAGATATGATGCAGCTGGAATTGATTTCGAGAGTTTGTGGTACACCTACTCCAGCTGTCTGGCCTTCTGTGATAAAATTGCCACATTGGCATACACTTAAGCCAAAAAAGTCGCATAGGAGACGTTTGAGGGAGGATTTCTCATTTATGCCAGGGCCAGCTTTGGACCTTCTGGATAAAATGTTGGAATTAGATCCTGAGAAACGGATAACAGCAGCAGACGCACTCAAAAGTGCTTGGTTGAAGAACGTTCAACCCGAACAGTATGTTATCCTTCTCAGTTCTTTTAAACTCCGTGTAATGGAATATATATATATATATATGTATATATATACATATACATACATACATATACATATATATACATACATACATATACATATTTGTCATTTTACGATAAATTAGAATGCCAGCGCCGCAGCTTCCTACCTGGCAGGATTGTCATGAGCTTTGGTGGAAAAAGCGAAAACGCTTGTTACGGGAACAGCAAGATAATGCTACCACCAAGATGCCTCTTCTTCCGTTCCCAAATAAAGGAGGCCCTCACAAGGATGATCTGTCAGATGTCGGGGGGTGAGTAGCCGTAGTGTGATTTAATCACAAGCTAGGACATGCCCCAGTGCTGATCAGAAACTAATTAGCTTATAAGCGTAGATGGCTGTGTTATCGCAGTTGTGCTTTGCATTTATTTTATCTTAGCGATATGCATTGTTAACTATAAATTAATTATACGAATTTACAAAAACGAAATTGAGATTGAAGTAGTACCTGTGTATGTATGGGTGGGTACGTCTGTGCGCGTGTGTATTCAGCGCCTTGTTTGCATGCCAACCCTCCCTAACTTAATGAACCAACGAGTTAATTTTAGTTTCGTCCACAGTCGTTCAAACACGACGACGGCAATAACGCAGAACAGTGGAAAATAAAAACACGAAACATCGTTCTCTGTGTTCGTGGCTTCGCTGCAGAGATTATTTATTACAATCAATTTGATAGACTGTGTGAGAAACACGTTTTCGGATATATATGTATCATTAGAGCATATATGCAAGAGATGATGCTATATAGCGACAATATTTTGTCTCATGACAAATGTTATTACTACTTACTACTACTTACATCCGCCTGACTGTCTACATCGAATCATTTTTTTATAATTACACACGTTCGTATACAGCGAAAATAATATCATAGTAACTGTATTATCATAATGTCCTATGGATCCCTAACGATCATTATTTACGTTGTGTAAACAGAAACATCAAGAGTTAAGATGTACATTCTCGTTATCACTGTGATCCAGTCTACTATTTGTCTCTGAAGACGATTGTAGAAATTAGATATCAGTTTGTTTTATTCGGTAATGGTTTACGACCTAAGCTACAGATAGATGTGTATATATGTATATATATATGTATATGTACGTATATATATATATATATATATGTTCGTGCATATGTATATGAAAAAGATATGCAGGATACGCATATCGTTATAACAAAAATACCGAGTAATATCTATGCGAGTTTATGCGCACTTGTACATTGATTTAGATTCTCCTACAGAGATACGTCAATATCCATATACATATTTACATATTTATAACGTATATTGCATATTCCCAATTACAAATGAAAACAAGTAGCATTTTGATTGTAAATAAATCAAGAAATCACATCACAGTGATTTCTTCTTACTTTTCTAAGAATCTATCTGGTTTATGCTCGTAAATAGAGAGAAAAAAGAGAATAAAACTTTATAAAATAAAGTGTAAATAGAAGGCGAGATATGCAGATACACAGGAGATGCTGTAGGAAGAACGAAGAGACAATTCAAGGAGATCAAGACTAAAAAAATGTTATTGTATCATGAAAGATATAATTTTAATTCCGCGTTAAAAGCTCTATTTATGTTAACTTGAAATTTCTACAAATTTACAGTTGTATACTTTAGTCATCCCTTTAATAGCTATATTATAACGTAATAATTTTATGTGTGTATGTGTGTGTGCATAGGTGTATATGGATATGCACGCACACACATCGCACCCATGAATTTTAATATACAAATGGCGAATCATTATACACGTCAATACTATTCTTTTCTTTCTTTCTCATTTTATTTTCTTCTTTTTTTTTGTTGAATATACGTTGTATTAAGCGGTATCGCCATTCTTATAATAAAATTCAATATTCAGGTATTTTCTGCTGTAATGTTACATCATAAGCGATATAAAATAATATACTAATGTTGTAACATACCCAAGTACCCAAAAAACATTAGCCTAATGTCTTTATGGGTATTGAATGAAAACCTTTAATGTTATTAAAACATTTTATTATTCAATCTTTTAGTTTCTTTTTTAATGTCTTTGTTTTTATGTACAAATTAGGTAATCGTATCTCCAAAGAAGCCATCCAACAGACAACATATGGAAATTACTTGGAAATTACTTGTTTACCAACGTGCTCTATGGTCTCTAATATATATATATATGTATATGTATATGTGTGTGTATATATACGTAGACGTGTATATATATATAGACACACATATATATATTTTAAATAATAATAAAATATATGTTACTTTTCTACTTATTCCACAAATGCTTTTATACGTTTAGCGTGTGCTTCGTTATTTATTATTTCTCGTACAAATAAACACGGTTAAATTGTTACAGTTAATTCTTTGATATATAAATGTAGAATCGCATTTCTAATAACATAATAAGTATAACAATGAATGAATAACATAATAAATACTAAGACAGCTTGTTCTATTTGAAATAATAAATTAAAATTTTTAATAAATAGAATTTTCAAAAAGAAGTTGGGCAAGAGATTGTACACAATATATATTTATGATATACTATTATGTACTTCTCTCTACACATTCTCATGTGTATTTCTAATATGTATAATTTGTATATATTAATAGAAATGTTGTCTTTTAGAATCCAGCTTCTTTTTATATTATTATCATAGATATATTATTATCATAGATATATTATTATCATAGGGGTAAGCTTTTTTTTTTTAATGATAATACTAAAATTATCATGGTATTGTATGTGCTAAAGTTTGTTATGTTTCTTGATGCAATTACATGACAATATTCGTAAATCTTTTTACATATCTTTCGAGAAAAAGGTATAAAAAATTATGTATTTATGAAAAAATTTAAAAGAGATTATTTGGAAAAAAAATTAAATCTTAATCCTATAATGTTTATAAAGACTTCGATATATTAGTAAATGGCAGTATAATGTGACAATCTCTTTTTGTGCTATAAATATAAATTTAAATCCATATCCTACAAATATGCTATGTGTTTATGCTAATATTAAAAATTAAAGAAATTTAAGCAAAGAATACCTTTAGGGAATATTTTACGTTTGTTTTATGCATATATATGTAGCACACTTGTATCATGCTTGTAGCTGAGATGCAGAAGAAAGCACATTATAATGGGAAGTATATTCATAATCAAGTTATGTTTGTATACAGATACATTTATATAAAATAGTGTAAAGAATACTTTATAGAAAATATAATGTTTAAAAAATATGTAACATGTTTTCACATACGACTTTCATTAAATAATATACAACAAACATGGAATCCGACAATTTGATAGTCGCTTGTAAAGTACATTCTTATACTTATTAATATTTAATATATTTTATATACTTATTAATATTTAACGTAATATTTTATATGCATGTAAGACTTCATGCTTTTGATAAGAAACGATTGAAATAATATTTATTAAAATATGATATTCTCCTAATATTAATGAGATTTTCTTCAATAACGAGAGAGGAAATAAATTCTTTAAAGTTTAACATGTATGTCTGTATATTATGAACATGTAATCATATAAATCAGAAATTTCGATTTATATTGTCACATATAACAAACTATATGAATATAATTTTATATTCCATATACAATTATTATGCAAACATATAAAACATGTAATTATTAATTATGATAAAAAATGATGCCTCGGGACTATGTAATATATGTTCACACAAAAATTTGAGAGTAATTGTAAGAGTTAAGAGTTAGGAGAAACGAGTTATACTTTAGTGATTATTGTTGATATGATGTTGTGGAATATGTAGAAAGTAACATAATAATTACTTAGGTGCAGGATTATTTATAGTTACAGCCGAATTGTCATATATGATATGATGTCTAATAGGAGAAAATTATGTTTCAGGAGATAATATAATAGAGGCTGAATTGTATAGATGGACAAATTTTGTAGCACTTGTAAGAATATATAATAGGTAATGAAAGTTTCTAATCTCTTAATACATGTTCACGCCCAGAGTGTCCAATTTTCGACTCATGTCTATAAAGTATATGGATCATTTAACCATTCATGTGCTTAAGCTTAGCTAACCGGAATAATTGAATCGGCTTTCACAAAAGTCTCTTGTTCCACATAAGATATACAAAAACGCATTAAATCATAGGGAGAGAAACACTTTTCACGCGCTCTATATATATATATATATATATATATATATATATATATATATATATATATATATATATTCAGTCGTGAGCGAGAAACAAAGAGTGATGAGTGAAATGTCTCACAATTATATTTTTACATTAAACATATGCATGCACAATATGCATGTGTATCTATGACTTTAATGCATCAAGGTGGCTTACTTTAGGAATGTTTGTATAGCTTATTAACAGCATGTTTTCATTACCTACGTTTAACATATTAAATATAACAAACTGTTTCAATTTCAGTAATAGAACACAAATGATAGTTATAAAATTTTCATGTGAAACTTTTATATACGTATCACAGTTTAAAGTTGAAGAAACTTCATTGCCAATTTTGTCTCAATTGTTATTCATTATATATACTATATATATCGGGAAGAGGGAGAACATTCATTTCTCACCTACATGCCCTCTTATATCTATTGAATTTGCATCTATGTTGTTATAGGTCCTCTAAACGATTAAAAATGGAAGCAGGCTATAACTCACATCCGAACAGACTTGGCGCGGAAGCTCATTACGCCGAGGACAACATATTCAATCAGAGCGGGCCGTATATGGTTTCTCCATCGTCATACTACTATAACAGCCCGCCGCCCATCAAGCCACGCTCGTCGAATCTGAAGGGAGATAATCAGGCATTGGAGATGTGCGTGGAAGATAATCTCGCCCGGAGACTGATATTCCTCACGAACTCTTTGAATCAGGGGAAGCCGATTCGCGTCGACGATCTTTTGTCACTTCGATCGGACAGCGAGGTACCTATTGAACAAACCCAGTATTAGTTGATTTTATATCGTCGCAGATATCTTTGTATATATACAGAAGTCCAAAATTTATAATTCTATTGAATCGTGTTAATAGAGAGAAAGAGTCCAAATTGAACTAAAAAACTTGGTTTATGGTACATTCGTAGATATTGCATTTAGGAATTCTGATGCCGAGACTCACACATTAATATACACAATAACACTTGAAGTTTAGATTCTTATTAGCTCTCACTCTATTTATTTGTTACGTACCTCCAAGGGCTTTCAGTATTTACATTTTCACGGTGTGTCCATATGCATATACTATGATAGCTCAAATATTGATTGCAGTGCGATCCCAAAATAACGCAGCTGTTGGGCGATTTGCATACGGAACTTCGTCTCGCCGCAAACACTAGACCAGGTGGACAACTGGAGTCTCATCTGCCCGTATTGAACCCGTCTTCTCTCCTAGGTTAGTTATGTTCCGCTCTATCTTTCTCCATGTTGACGTTACAGATATATTGTTTACTTTTGACGTGTTGACGTTACAGATATGTTGTTTGCTTTTTTTACTTGTAGATTCGAATGCGTCGCAACAAGCTAACTTCGACGCACACGCGGTATACGCTGGTGATGACGCTGTAAGTTCGTCCTCTGGAGGCAGGTGGTCACAGGTAGCCACGGTCGGCATCCGGAATGCATTGTCGGCTCTCATGTCATGTTATGGTCTGGACACGTATAACCCTGCTGTGTTCGCGATTGGCGGCCGACCGCCGGGCAAAACCGTGTCCAGTCTGCCGCAGAATCTTTTCCACCCGTCGACTTCCTCGCAGTCGGCATTTAGCTCGTAATGATTCGGCGGTGACGTGTCGCGGCGAAGTACGCGCACGACCATACCCATGTTCTGCGTGTAAAATTCTTATTAGGAAGGGTTCTAAATTGCTACTATTTTTTAAATTACACTAGTGTTAGAGTGACACGAGGGAGGGTGGTGATTATCGCAATTATATTGAATTTGTAGCGATATTCCGTGTTGTATTGACAGCACTTGATAACTCGAATATTATCCAGAGATATCACTCACGATAATCAACGGCGACAAATTAATTCAACGTGTCGCAGATAATGTACAGCAGTCGCACATGGTTTTTTGTCGCAAGATATTTTCTATTCGCAGTACCAACGAACATTTCTAACGTCAAGCGGAATATCGTTACCGTTGTCGATAATCTCCGCGTCAATCGCTCCGTTAATCGTAAGTGCACGCTCAGTGTATAATTGTATAATACCGCGCGATTAGAGATACTTAATAGAGATATAACCTCTCTCTCTCTCTCTCTCTCTCTCTCTCTCTCTCTCTCTCTCTCTCTCTCTCTCTCTCTCTCTCTCTCTCTCTCTCTCTCTCTCTCTCTCTCTCTCTCTCTCTCTCTCTCTCTCTCTCCCCCCCCCCCTTTCTCTCTCTCTCTCTCTCTCCCCCCCTCTCTCTCTCTCCCCTTTCTCTCTCTCTCTCTCTCTCCCTCTCTCCCTCTCTCCCTCTCTCCTTCTTCCTCCCTTCCCGAAAATAATGATATATAATTGTTATTAGTGCACATTGGATTAACACTTTGACTGCCACGTTAGATTCACGCGTAAATCCCAGCAGGCTTAAATTCCCTGACCATTGCGTGCGGTTATATACAGAATTAGATTACTTAGAGATCATGGCATGCAGGAAAATGCAATTAATAAGACTTAAACAGTAAGCGAATTGATTAATTGAATTTTAATTTACGTTCTCGATAAGTGTCGAATATAATCAACCAATTCGCTTACTGCTTACGTTCTCCTATGTGTTAGCATAACCGTGTGAATTGCACTCAGATACTTAGTGAAATCATTCCTAATTGGACAAGTAAAGTTATCATCTATAAACGGGCCTTTGTGGAAACTCGCGTGTCATCCAGATTTGAATGGCGTGGCATTCAACGTGTTAACTAGACACGTTACGATTGTTTCACAAAATCATCTTCGATCGGTGACACGTGCCGAACGATGTTCTCCAACGTTTCTTTCCCGCATCATTACGAAAGATCTGTGATACACATATGTATATAAACTTATACATACATTATACTTATATATACATATAAATATATATACATGCCGTGAATGTAGAAATTTAAATTTAAAGCAAAGCTCGATTTCTGAAGCTTGTTTTTAATTCCTACATACGTGAGATTTGAAACACATACAAGTGGAAGCGATATATTCATCGTGTGAAATCTTTTATGAAAGTTCGCTACGTTATGTTGTTATAATCCGAGTAATCAATTTTTTATTTTCATGTAAAGCAACACGATGGTGGAGACAAGATTAAAATAGTTTAATAATAACAGTAAAGAACAAAAACTTGCTAAAAATGTGAATATTTATTTATTGCTTAAGATCTTTTATATAAGATGCTAGCGCTTATTTATTATGAACGTATCTACGATGTACAATGTACATACTATAATATGCTAAGGATATATAATAAAGATGTCAACATAAAAATGACGAAATCTTTTAGATCGAGAGAGACACTTCTATCCATATTTTTATCTACTAATCTATACATGCAAATATAAAAGTATTTTTACAAGTCGCATAAGTTTCTTTTCGAAATAGAATCCAATGATAAGAATTATACAGTATTTACACCCTGAAAAGTTTTGTTTTTTTGTAACAAATTCAATTAGATCTTTTGTGTAGCTCCCATAGAAAAGACGGCCCTGACTTTACCTGTTGCATATGTCACGTGATAAAAGCAGCTGCGACAGACATGGTGGATTATAATAACGGAGCAGCAGAGACAAACATATATATATATATATATATATTACCAGGGAACGTATGTATATAACCAAGAAATATACAAATTGCGTATATTTTGTACTATTTTATACTTGCAATACAAAGTGTTGAGTCTCGATTTCAGTGACGATATTCAGCAAGCATTAAAGCAGGAAAGATATACATCTGAATTTGCTCCGAAGAAAAGTTGTCAACGATGTCTGTATCTGTACAATTTAACTATTTCATACTGAACAAAACTGCGAAAAAAGCGATGGAAAGATATGTTGGATTTTTGGAAAAAGCTTTCGAACAATATCGAGGTAAAAATGTGTGATTGTTATTTCCTAGCACAAAATTGTCAAAAATTAAATGTTTATAAGTGTCCAATATTTTACAAGCAAAAAATAATATAATTAAAAACATCTTGCATAATTTTTTTATGAATTTTTGTGTCCCTTTTTTTAGATTTATAAATTCTTACGAATAAATTAAAAATCAAAATGTTTTGGAAAACTTTCTTATGAATACTGCTGCCCTCTGGGAAGGATAAGAGTAATTAAACGTAAAATGGCGCGAAAAGTATTTCTGACTAATTGTACCCTCTAGTAAAAGTTATTAGAACTAAATATATAAACATTTTCAATTGGCTAGGAAAAAAGCGCGCAAATTAAATTCATTATAAAAATGGATCTAAATATAACTATTTTTTTATATTACAGATTTATGGGAAGATTATATAAAACTGCAGGAGAAACATGAACAATGTAACGTGTGAGTTCTAAATTCTAAGTTTGTTACAAAATTAGTTGTGTAATTTATGTTGTAATCGTTATTGTAAATATTGTTGTAAATCAAAGCTCATAAAACAAATTGACATTCTTATCAAAATTAGCCTGTTTTATTCTAGATCCTCGCCATTTCAAGTGACGATCGATGAGCCTTGTGGAAAGGCAAAAGACGAACTAACAATCGAAAAACAGCTAAACAGTAGCATCATTCTTCAAGAAAATGACGATGCTTTAATCGTCGGAGAAAAATCGGAGCCCGATTCATTACATACAGATGCTCAGAATTTTCTTGATGACATAGAGACTAATCTTATGAACCTAAGTGAAGATTTTCTAGATAATAGCCCATCAAAGAGTCCGGTATTTTTCAAAACATATCCAAAAACCAGCAGCACTTCTACAAAAAAGTTCGTATCGTCATTTGAAGTATCACCGGTGTGTAATAATTCAGCAATAGATACAAAGATGTTTCGTAAAAATGAAAAAATTCCTTCCAAGTGTAATCAGAAGTTAGAAATTAGTTCAACATATCATGTGGAAACTACATTTTTACCAAATGGCAAGAAGCTGAAGCAATCTCGACTTGTGTTTCATCCTATTAAAGATCAAAAACAGAAGATACAATCACATGATATAAATAAACTTAAGCCAGCTGATACAATGCAAAAAGCAAAACAAAATATTACAAATATTTTAGATATAAAAACACCTATTAATATTGAAGATAACGCTACAAAAGCAAATGAAACTTTTTTTGATGATGTGATGGAAATCAGTCCTACACAAAAGGATGTTCAGTCTAATTCTAGATATTGTTTAAATTTTAAAAGCAGGGTTCCAAAGCAAATAAAAAATTCTCCAAATAAAAGTGATGTAGACTTTAACATATATCTTTCACCTTCTTCTGGAGAAGTGACTTATGATACATCTTTAGAGAAAGACTCTAATATATTTGATGCAAATAAAGATAATGTTAATATACATAATCATTCACTGACACAAAAATATAATGAAGCAGATGTTAAAAGTACAAGCTCTACAGTAAATCAAAGAAAGGACCAGATTGTAAAAGATGAAGTACAAAATATTTCTAGAAATTTAAATGATTTATTTGAAGATGAGACCTTCTTTTCACCTGCAGAACAAACTGTAAATAAAAATGACATGTATAACTTTGATCTAGATGATACAGAAAACAAACCACCTGCAAAACGATTATTATTGAATAAGTTTCATATGTAAGTATTGGTTGACAGATAAGATATCAAATTTTGTTTATATATTCAATAAAAATATTATCTGTAGGACATCAAAGAAGAAAGGAAATGTCACAGAACAACTTAACATGCGATGTAAAGCTGACAGAGCAAAACTAAATGGTTGGAGCTGCTGGGAATGTAAAGAGGTAAAATATAATCTATTTATATAGAATATATATCTACAGTAATACAATATTATTTCTATAATAAGAATAAATTCTAGTTCATTATGAATCCTATATGACTTGCAGTATTACCAGAATCTATCATTGTCGAAAAAAGAATTGCAGAAACGGAAGAATCAATGTTCACGCCATCGACAAAAATATGAAAGACCAAGTACACCAGAAGGTATAATATTAGGTTTTATTAATTTGTTTTTCTCTTTCCTATATGTTATACACTATATAATATATGTAAACTTTTTAAGGTTTCTGGAATCCAGAATTTCCTGAGACACTGTCAAGCACTTATCGTCATAATAAAAACTAATATATATTAATAATTAAGATAAATATTATATTCCTAATTTGTACAGACAAATTACATTCATTAGGAAAGTTGACTTTTTGAAAACCTTAATAATTATTACCTTAATAATAGTTGATCAAAAGTCTAGTTTGTGAGCAGAATTGACAAAATTAACTGGTATTTCTAACACTAATTAAAATCAAACTAAATGTATGTAAAATGGAATTAAATATATTAAATACAAACAAAATATAATTTTTATTTTTTATGTAATATATGTGTCGAAAACAGGAGAAAGTGTAAGCGCATTCTCATGGCTTGAACATAGATCGATTTATTATTTTACAACATGTATAATATTATATTTTTGGATAACATAGTATAGATTTTATATATAACTATATTATTTTTCATTTTTATATATATATATATAGATTCATCCCTTTACATAAAAATATAGAATCTTCTGTGAGTCGGTGCTGCTAAAGAAGGCTAATCAAACTCAGTTGGTGATCAAGCGAAGTTTGACACAGTTTCAAGGTACATCAGTGTTTCCAGCCTCTCAGAGTGTTCACAAAAATGATATATATGCTATTACTAAACGATTACATAGGCTCGCGAAACTTCGATCTTTCTTAACCGTATCGGTGGTCTCATTCGGTATCTCTAATTTAAGCCAAGTCTTCCAAGAAAAGATGTTGGAATAAAAAAATTGATATTTCTTTCGATAAGAGATAAATATGATGGGCATATATGAAATATGTTGTCGAAACAAAAAACGGTCGAATCATAAAAGCGTGAAAAGATACGCAAATGTGAGTTGTTCGTCTATGCATAATGCGAGTTTAATCGTCAAGCAATAATAAATTCCTTCTAACTTCGGCACGTCTATATATCAGCCTGTATATTTTTACGTATATATAATCAGTACCTCTTAATATTACTCATCAAGCTATTTCCAACGAAATGATCGCACATAATTTCGTTTAAGATATTAAACACGCATTATCGATTTTTTTACAGCGATATTAAAAAATATAACGTTCAACAATCGATCGGATAATTTTTTAGCTCAAATACATACCGTATACAAAGTTTCATCGAAAACGCAATCTGCGCACGAAAAATGTTTTTAGATTTTCATATTTAAAATTCACGTATTTCTTTTAGTGATCAAATTCTGTTGGCCCAATTAATCATCTGCGTTTTTGTGCACTTTAAACGCGTTCTTGATGATTGTAATATAATTTTACAATGTAACAAAGATCGATATCTTCATAAATAATATGAAATTCATTTATAAAGTAAATGTACAATATATAAAACATTAAAGACATTATTTTGTAAAAATTGTAACAAAGTAGCCGTTTCGATCCGCTGTAAATGGCTTCATTAAAATGACTCGCGCTCACTTTGTTACATACGTATTTGGTATTGATTGCAATTGACTTAGCTGATTGGTTTGTCACGTTGATTATTATTTAGTGAAGTAAAAGGTTTCATCCATTCTTTTAAAGCTATCTTAAAGCACGTTAGTCGAAGGGCACGTGGGAGTTAATGCAATTCAATCGGTATATGTGTATGTGTGTCTACACACATGTGCACCGCATATGCCTTGTGCAAATCAAATAAGTAACTAGACTGAGCTGTGCAGTCCCAGTGATACGTATAAACATCTGATAAAATATTAAAATCCGATAGATAGCTCTCATAGATATTTTACAGACGCTTTCATCTATATAAAAGATAATATGAAAGACAATGCTATGTCCTTGATGGACAATAAAAATCCTATCCCGTATACGTGTCGCATATTGAACGCTAAATATAGTCGTATGATCCTCAGTTCACGATTATGTCAGACGCAATTACATCGATCCTCGCATCAAACGAATATAGCCCTGATTCAAACGGCCACGTTTAACGCTAATAAATGCACTGCTAGGTAGAAATGCGAATTCACTGGTACAAAATGTTTTACCGTATCACCAATCGATCGTACAGTACGGTCACTGTATAGCTCAGTCGTTGATATATGCATGTGCACGCTAATGTAAGGTAGTAACGGCGCCTGCCTGCCTGCCTATCATCTGTCCGTTCTTTACAGGTACTTGACTTTTAAAATAGGCCGCGTCTGAATGAACAGAAAGGGACGTACGATTTAGTCGATGTAATAAAAATGGTGTACGAATAGCGCAATAAACGAAGTACGAATTATACACCACATTTACTTCAAGCTTTCATAACGTATATCGTTCGAGTCCAAGCGCTCATTTTTTTCTTTTCTCTTCTTCATTCTCTACTCACCATACTTAAACCGTATTTTGTGGATTATACAATTATTATATTTCTCGTGCTAGGAGTAAATTGATTGATCAACGTCCTCTTTAAGCAAAGAAGTACAGCTGAAATACGAAAGAAGAAGCTTATAACTCTGATTGGTGCGCTCTAATTAATGAAAGGTGAAATGTATGTGTGTGAATGTGTGTGTTGTGTGTGTCTGTGTATGTGTGTATGCGTATGCATCGGGAAGTACCAAGCGTGTAGAAAATTCCAACAGAAAATTGATTGGTTTTACTTTCTAGTGAGTAGTACATCATAGTAAACAGCTAAAAATATTCAATCTTCACATTGAAATCAATGGAATAGCTACACGTCTCACCCTTCTCGTTTGCATCGCGATCGTGACTTTAACCCTGAAGAGTACGAAATAGTTAATCGGTACGACTGAAGAGTTACACAGATATCAGATCTTTTAGAGATTACGAGACAATAAGATCGCGTATATTACGAAATTATATGTACGAAATCTCAAAGTAACAATCGAAAATGAAATATAAATCGCATCAACTTTGTAAATAGAAGGATACAACAAATCTCCTTCTTGACGAATGAATCAGAATTAAGAAGAGCGTTTTAAATCTAGCCTTCAACAAGGAAAAATAAATTTTGTCTAGCCTTTTTTATACTGTTTAGGGTCGAATTCGCGTCGCACTGGTTTCACTGCTCTGTCTTCGCGGGCGGTAAAGAATTGTTCCCCGCAGCCGCGGCGCACTTCTCGCTTGAAGCTACGGGTAAAGCCTTTAAAATCGCGTGCACTTCCTCTGCTACCGCCATCAAGACAAACTCGAACTGCTGTTTCGTAGCAACCATGTTCGGTCTCTGATCTCTGATGTGCTCGAGAGTAGCGGCAATATCAATCTCCTTCGCTCCTTTTGTCATACGATTTAGGACCATGTCGATCAAGCAATAAGTACCAGTTCGCCCAACACCATCGCTACGAAATTATGAAATTATAATAAAAATTATATATAATCAATTAGGAAAAAAACATGAAATATAAAAGCGCACGCAGATCGCTGCTAATTAATTTAGACTACTTTAAACTGAACTTAACTAGTTAAACTGAATTAAACTTGGACACTCACCTGCAATGCACGACTATTGGACACGATCTTCCACGATACGATTTGTTAACCTTCCTGGAAAGCAAATGGAGATTATTAACAGATTTCGTAAATGTAGATTTCTTTCTTATTGAAATCTTGATAAAATGACACGGTTGAGAAGTCGGAAAAGAAAATATTAAACATCAGCTATGATGTGAATAGTAAAGTGAAAAAGACACTCATGATAACTGTCTTTGACAAAACCGCAGTTACATCAATATACTAACCTGCGAAATTCGAGTAGAGCTTTCGTAGAATATGGGACGCTGTTCTCCGGCCAGGACAGGAAATGGAACTGTGTTACGGTGCGGGTCTCGCAAGTGCACAGGTTCTTTAGATAAAAGGAGCGCACTAGATAGTCATCGCACCAAAAGTGCTCCGACACGAGGTGTACTTCATAGATATGATAAAGCTCCGATCCTTCCTCGGGCCAGTAACGATGGCACATGGCATGACCCTCCTCGGTTAGTCGCGTCAACATCACAATCACTACGCTACCTTGCTCCCAAACTAGTTGCCAGAACTCATTTGTAGTCTGCGGTAGCGGTCCCTGTGTGGCTATGTAAGCTGGATTCCGTGGGTCGTGATCCGTCTGTAAAAATAAACGAATATTACATCACGGTCTTACTGGAAAATTTGTTAAATGTTTCGCGATAAACCATGTAGATTCGTATCACACTTAGTGTCTCAGAATTCATGAGATAATTTTTATTATTTTTCTTAGATTTCATTCAAATTTTATTTTCTTTTCAACTCAAAGTAAGTTTTGCTTTTCGATTAAAAAGAATTTTAATTTTCATCGAATTTCATACAGATTTCTGAGACATCCTGTATGTTCTCTGTTGCGTTTATGCTGCTGCGTCAGAGGATGAATCGAATGCAGGAGAAGCTGTATTGACTGACGCGGGAAATTCCTGTTATCGTTACTTTTCACTCTTCTCTTTGCTTAGTTTCTCGCTTTTGAGGCAGATATCGGGTGAACATAATATGGCCACACATTTTGCCAACTGTGCAATTAAAAAATACAAGGCTTGCTCATTGATAAACATGCTGGACTCAATTCGCTGTGTTATGAATGTGATGCACTAAGAATATATCTACCGCAAGCGTTAGGCCTTACACGGTTAGAACAGCTTGCGTCGTATTGATTTTGCGACTTTTTTCAAACGATCAACCAACTTGGCATGCCTGTCGTGTGACTTACCGACTTCTACATATATTGCAGTGCGTCAGCCGGAAAACGAATGTCGTATGCAACGTTCAGCAACGTTATCGTGAAACGAAAATATTCATTTTATTTTGGCATAAGTTACCACACTTGCGGCTTTATTGAAATACTTGGAACTTCCTTTCGTATACCATATTGAATCTCTCGCATTGTTGAAATATATGATGAAGCGTAATGATCAAACAACAAGAAGAGTCACTTACAATCGTGGAAGCGTTTATATAGTCGGAATTGTTGGCATTCACAAGATCGTTCAGGACTACTCTGGAATGATCGTAGGGAAGCGCCGCGCCAGGTCGATTCTGTTTAACATTCATTTCTCTCTCTGCAATCTCCGTGGACGAGGGATCGGCTTCGTAAGCACACAAAGCTGCCCATTCCTGATCCAAGCGATCCTTATTCTTCAGATGATCCTCCATATAACTCTGCGAGTATAATTTTGTCTTATATATATATATGTGTATGTGTGTGTGTGTGTGTGTGTGTGTGTGTGTGTGCGTGTGTGTGTGTGTGTGTATGTGTATAATGTTGTACAATTTTTAATAAGTGGACAAAAAAAATTTGCACTCACGAGAACCATGTGACCAGTCGATATGTCCATATTAGAAAGAGTAGGTTCCTCACCCCACGAGGACGTACTGGACCGATTTGAAGGCAGATTATTGGATTCGTTTTCACGTGACAAACTGGTGATACGCGACGACTCCGCCTTTTCGCTCGGTTGCTTTGCCTGCATTCTTACTCGACACAAGTCTTGATAATCCTTCGATGCTTCCGGGTCCGGGGTAGTCAGCCTGGCGAGCTTTGCTCGATACTTGGCGTGGCGTCGCGCGATTATCAGCGTAACTGCTGCCGCTGCAATTGCAGCCGCGACTCCAGCAGCCACCAATGCCCCGAATAGAGTGGAATTCATCTCCATCTCTCTGGATACCACCAGGGTGGCTGGTAACTTTGTCTGTGAGAAAATACATTTGTTGGTCTTGGTAATATTGAAATGATGTATGTCCTATAAAATTTCGCTTTTATAAATTCAATTTCTTTTAAATAAAAAACTATCTTTTATAATACAACCTTGTCGCCTATACCCGCTCGAATGACTTTGACTCCTAATGTTTCCTTTAATTTGCCACGTATGTTACCTGAAATATAACGACTTTACTCCTTCGAAGATGAGTAAATTTATTTTTTCATCTCATTCTTTTTCTTGTAAAAAATTTATGGAAAATTAATTAAAACATATGGATTATCATACCGATATTTTCTGCAACGTCAGTGGCATTATAGTTTTTGAAATTTGGTACGACTTTAAATGTCACTTCCGCTCGACCCACTCGTATGTCTTTCAAGGTTCCAGGAGGTAAGTCTAAGAGTTCTCCAACCTACAGAAATGCACAATAATGAAATGTACAATAATCAAATTTATATCGAGATTTAATGTGCCATCTATAAATAACGTTTAACATAATATATCCTACAGTTAATTTTACCATTACTGTCCTGAAGATAAAATTAATACTAATATAATATCCTTCAATTTCCTTCGAAACAATAGGAAACTTTTAATTATATTATAATTATATCTCTAACTTATAATTATATCTCTGTTCTGTTTATTCGTACTTTAGCAACCACGTGTTCTCCCTCAAGCCACTTGTGAAACTCTTGTTCAAACTCAATGTAGACGTAATCCAAATCGACGTTCTTGTATGTCTTCGGTGGCCCATCGTTTGCTTTGTACATATTACCGCGTAATTCCTTCTTCGTTAACGGCGCATATACCTCGTTATTCTACAATACGACTCTAATGTAATTGTCTATATAGTTTAACAGTCGAAATATCTCAGCTTATTTATACTTACGTCTTCATTATCTTCGGAATAATCTTCCTCGTCGACGAAAGCTGCAAAAACACGGATGCCATGAATCAACAAACTTAACCCATAATTATCGATTTTATCTTCTGCAAAGTACTAACAAGAGTCAGTTATAGAGCTAACTAGAAAGTCGATCGTAAAACGGAAATTAAACGTACGTACATTATATCGTATATTCGACGAGAAACTTACTGGGCGGAGATTGAGTTTTAAACGCGTAATTATTCGTGGAAAATGGAGGCCCAGGTTTCTTAACGTCGAGGCGTTCTCTGCGCTTGAAACCCGCTAGCTCTCGCCTCCACAGAAGTTTATTCAAGTCGTCGTTAATCGTATCATCGTACGAAATTCCTGCATCAGAGTAATATCCAATTGGCACAGGTTATCACAACCGGGCAACAATGAAAATCCAGACGATGAAAACTTACCGTCTAATTCGGTTTCATGCTTCGAAGGTCGTATAATTCCACCCTCGGTGTACATCCCATTTACTTTCGAGGAAGCGTCGTCATCGTCGGATAAATTCTCCATTTCCGCCGAGTTCTCTTCGTTGGCTCCACCATCTTCGTAGTCAAGATTCTCATCACGCCTGATTATCGTTTTTTTCACGTTATCCAGACTCGTCGCGCCAGCAGTGTCAAGAAATTCGAAAGACGGCAGTTTCCTCGGCTTATACTTCCTGGAGAACGCTTTTTCATACTTCTCATCGCTCTCATCGTCGGTAGAGGATGGATTCAGCAACATGTAATCAGGCGATTTCTCGCCCGGCAAGAATTCCAACTCAGGGGATAAAAGCTGCACGTCGTAAGGATTCTCGTCGTCATTTTCAGATAATTTCTCGTCTCTCAAACTGTTCTCAAACGGGTCGATATCGTCGTCGTTCCTATAATCGATGAAACTGTACCGACGTGCTCTAGGGTAAAATTCTTCGTCTGCCAAGTTTAACGCCGAGCGCTCGTCGCGCAACTTTGCGTAGAACTCTTTATATTTCTCATCGTTGATCGAAGGGTCGTTTTTATCATTGACAGGCCATTTCATGTACCCAGTCCCATAAACACGCCCGGCAGACTCCCGGTTGTACGCTGGCGATTGTTCTCCATCGTAAAAAACCGGCAAGACCTCGTACTTATCTTCGACTTTCGCGGAACCACGTAAAGCATGGACTAAATTACTCTCAGGATTCTCATTGTCCGCAGATATTCTCAGTATGGCGACCGTGGGAATTATCTGAAAAGAAAATCGATAGCGGCATTATTGGAAGTATTATTGCGGGTGCAATATAGATATTTTTCAAGAGGCTATCGCTATCAGCCGATGTCGTTGTCGGAGAAATGTGTCGCATGCGATATGCAGCTGAACTATACACATACGCTATATCGTCATATCGATAAAATCCTTGGCAATAGTAGATTTATGCTAACCTTGCCAATAAATTGTTCGTCATCTTGTTCATCAAGGCTCGTTTTCTTCAAGTATTCGCAGAGATGAAGATTATGAAGATCACTTCGCCTAAAAAACATCAGGATTCGTCTCGTTAAATCATAAGCACGCAATGTCGATGCGACCGTTTGTCACATCTCGGCTTATTAGCTCCAGCAAAGTGACGTACCCTTGCCGGAGATTGTGTAACGAGGTTTGTATGATGCACTGCGTAAAGGGATGCGTCCATTCGTAGCCGCGAGACTCCAGTCCTTCCAGTTGCAGTCCCAGTAACTCCAATTCACCGACACCGAGATTATATCTACGATAAAGTATACTTGGATATATGCTCGATTAGGCGTTCATGACGTCGTAATTCGCACGTCGATCGCTAGAATATTACGCGAACGACGATAATAAAGACGATGAACGAAGTAGTAGTGAGATCGCTTTACGAGCCGGCGATAAAATTAAACGATCGGAGTGAGAATCCGATTCTATTCGTTCACATATATTACGTATCGCGTATATTTTATGCGTAAATTACATCTTGACTTCAACGGCGCAATTTTTATCTCACGCGCGGCACACTTACTGGTATAAATCATCATTCTCTAAATTCGCGTACAGAGACACGCATCTTCCGAATGCTAGATCTGGAAATAAAAACGATGTTGACGTTGACGTAAAAATATACTCGTTATACATAAAAAATTGCTGACTAGGATATATCATAATTTTTGCATTCTTTGTTTTTTTTTTTTAATTAAATGCACGAAATTATTACCGTTGAAGCACGTTTCCGTCTGGGGATCACACACGTTCTTGCTGAACAAGCATCCTGGGAACAGAATAATCACGTTGTATTGAGAGAGAAATCGCTCATATATGACAAAGGTCAAATAGTTCGAAACTGCGATAATTAAATTCGCTTCTCCACGTGTACATAGTTCCTGACATCTGTGTCATATATAAATCCGAGCATACGTCTAACTCGCTAGATTGCGTAAATATTACGACACAGGTGTGTAACCTGATTTAACTTCCGCGGACGTTCGCATGAACAATCGACCAGTTTGTCGTCATTACTCGTGAAATATTATATGGTTAACAAATATAGCGCCACACGCTCCAGAAATATCCAGGGACAGATTTGATCTGATTCCCTGAAATAGCTGTGTGCATTTAACGTTATCGTGAAAAATTCCAAGTATTCACTTCAATGACACAATTATATTGTGTAGTGCATGGTGAATTCACCGATCACATTTTCAAAGAAAAATGTTCTCGTTCAATCTGAAAACGTTTCGATCATTACCTCTCTCATCCCCTAGAGTTTCGTTTCAACGCGTTTTACTTTTTACTCCACCTGGGAATAAAATATTTCAGGAAGATAGCGTGTTCACGTGCATAGTGACAGCGAACTTGTTATGAGATTTATGTCAAATTGAATCTTCACGAAGCCGAAGATGCGCAATCGATGTCGACGTGATATCAAGTACGGAGAAGACGCATACATAAGAGCTTAAAGGACCGAAGGGTTGCATATGATGAAGCGATTAATGGGTCACACGTGGTCATGCGTGCAAGATTGACGGAAATCGCCTGATACAATCAACAAGAGCAAGCTGCAAGTACATGTGGTCACGCTAGCCTTCGGTATACTCTTTCAACGAATTGCGAAAATCGTAGCTATTTTCCGTTAATATAAATATGAACATTAATATTTAGCCCCGTCAGATAATCGATAGAAACAATCGGCTCGCATTGATTACTGCATTACAAAAATATATTATCTCACGTGATACTCTCAGTGAATAGATTCGATATTTTACTCAAGCGGGAAAATACCATCCCCTAGGATTGTATATGTGGGCGGAACGGTCGACCAGGTGACTCGCAAATGTACGTATATATGTATACTGTGTTCTCAACGAACACACGCAAAAGCTCAAAATGTATGTCTGCACGTTCACAAATACATGCGGGTGCTGACGCACATGTGAACCTCGTATATTCCGGCGATGAAAAGGGTTACACGAGTGGACGAGATAAGAGTATTATGCGAAATAGATCAGCGAAAAGTCGTGACGTTGAGGGGGAGAGAAAGAGAGGAAGAGAGCGAGGGAAGAGAGAGAGAGAGAGAGAGAGAGAGAGAGAGAGAGAGAGAGAGAGAGAGAGAGAGAGAGAGAGAGAGAGAGAGAGAGAGAGAGAGTAGAGAGAGAGAGAGAGAGAGAGAGAGAGAGAGAGAGAGAGAGAGAGAGAGAGAGAGAGAGAGAGAGAGAGAGAGAGAGAGAGAGAGAGAGAGAGAGAATAGAGAAAGAGAAAGAGAAAGAGAGCACGAGAGAGACGGCATTACGCGCGCGCGATAGAGAGGTCGAAGCTTGTGAAGGCGGTGGCTGCGTAGGATGAACGGCTCGATAACTGTCGGGGTGGTATGGTCGTGGGCGAAAATCGAACTCTTCTCTGCCGCCTGGTGTTTGCGGAGAGGAGGTTCTCTTCATTCTTGGAGAGTGGGCTTTCAACGGTGGTGAATTCGAAGATCATTGACGTTCCACCGTAATATGAATGGTTGCTATGATATGAGCGCGTATCGAAATTCTCCATCACTCTCTGTCACATCACATCACGTTCGCTTCAAATTTCTCGACCCGGAATTCATCTTCTCTCGATGCACGTTTCATCGACTGTTGATTGACGAGCTTGTAATCGCAAAGTCACTGCATATGAGCTTCATCATCGGAACAGTACGATATTTTTTGGAGTTCATCTGTTATATCTGTTATACCTGCAATTGATAGAAGCGACGACTATCGTCTAAATGTATTATACGATATCAAATCCTCTGGTAAACCCTTGGTTCTAAAGCGAGCTTTACATTGGCGTATGACTTGCGAAAGCTTATATGTATCACACGCGACAAGTGTGCCGAGAGAAAGAGAGAAAAGGAAAGAGAGAGAGCGATAACGGAAAATCAATGAGGATCGACGACCCTAATCTCGATTTGCCGTAAAAAAGTTTGCTGAGAACAATAGCTCTGGTGACAAAGCTTGCTTGCTCTCTCTCTCTCTCTCTCTCTCTCTTTTCTAATGACGTCAACTAGCCGGCACGTTATTCTGAAAATGTTTGCGGAACTTTTAAAAACCAGCCGCGCTAACGTTGGCCAACGTTAATCATATTAATCGATTAATTGATATCAGCTTTCTTCTTCCGTCTACAGTCAGATCAACTAAAATTGCTTAACAAAAGTTATTAAAATTAAAATTATTAAAATTATGGATTTAAATCACACATTAACGCTAGATATGCGTATTTAATTCCCAAATTAAAATATTGACTATACGTACTATCATACAAAATAAATAAAATTTAGAATCAGACAGTCACATTTAACATTTAATATCCGGTCAGAGTATCGGCCCTTCAACTTTTGAATCACGCCCTTAAGTTTCTTTCAGTTTTATCCACATACCATATTTAATTAAATTTTTCTTCTACTATCTAGAAGTGCGCTTTTAAATGAATTCGCAATTATTATTATCGTAGTCGTACTCATGTAGTCACAAACGTTGCTTATTTCTTTCTGCATATAATTAAAGTCCCAACCCAGCTCGCTTGTACTTCAATTCGTATCTTTTTTTCCAATTTTATAATCGATCGATGTACTTTCATAAATGTGGCCATACGGTGTAACGTTTACAGAAGTATCTCGCGACAATTTAATGGGGCGTCACCATTACCGACACGATCGATGTTAACACTTCCGCGAGCAAACTCGTATACCTTTATGTATCATCAAGATATAAAATGTCGATCAAACGCAGATGAGACTTATTTTTGCATTTTAAGTGCCGCGAACGAACATGGACCTAAATTACAAACAAGAAACCTTCAGAAGGAAATACAGATATCGTATAGAAGAACTGTTGAACTATTCTACCTTAGTTCTATTTATATTGAATTATTATATCGTTTTAAGGCGTATGATTGAATAAACTTATTTCGTTAACTCAAACTTATTTCGTCGTTGTAGGCTGAAGTTCATATCATTCCGAGCATGTTATGCGTATATGTAATATATTATCGTTTTTTTTTGTTTCGTATTTTCGTATTTGCTATTAATGCACGAAGATTTCATCGCGGAGGGTCTATTAGAGACATGTTACATAGCACTACATTTCTTGTCCCTTTGAGAACCTTTATCGGTTTTAAAGAAACTTAAAATTTATCCGCTTGTGGATTCCAGGGAATCTGCAATCTTTAACAGAAGTTCAACACAGTAGTTGTAGTAGGACTTAATTAGAGAGAGACATTTGAAATTAAACTGACCGAAGACAGACAAAAAATCACGGCTTACATTTTCCATGAGAGAGAATAGCGCTTTCGACTTCATTAAAGAACACTACCCGCGTTCTCTTCCATGTTTCACCATATTTCCCAGTTTAGCTACATGAAAAGTAATCGCCACTTGACTTCATTTACTTCATAAAAAGTATCTGCACATTTCATTCTTTTGATATATACAGCAGAGATGAACATTTCTCTGCAAAGCATTTCTATCGGAATAAAATATTTCTCGCAGTATTATTCTGTAGTATGAGATCATATAAAATGTAAAGCGTGCAAATATTTCCTTTACATATTTTATATACATCTTCGATGTCAAATGCCATTATCTCCGCCATTATACTCGCGAAGTAACATTTAGTAATATTCGACCGTACTCACCGACATCGCCATCAGCTAGAACGCCGTGATGCAGAATACAAAGCACCAGCAGCCCCAAGCCTCCAGCCCACCACCGTTTACGGCCCATAGATGTTCCTGCAATTGTGAATGCATTTTACGTCACTCCGCCCTTTCGTGTTTAACGATAATTTTATCTTCTTCATCATGCAAGTGCGCCTTTTATCCCACGATAAAATAAAAACTAACAACACCGCTTAACAATCTTCACGAATAAAATAACGAGCACAACGGGTATCGAGATTACTAATTTGCGCGAGTTCTTTTTCATAATATTTATTACCTAAGTAATTTACTATTGGATGATAAATATATTACATAATATTTCGGACTGAGGCGAGTTGTTGACGGTTTAAAGATTGACGAATATATAGAGGATACTTTTAAGTTTCAAAGGAATAAGTATATCTAAATCTCCACGTCAAGCGTTAAAGTCTGAGTTCGTTCGAACAGATTACGCTCCGACTGCTTTGATGTGAAGATATCTTTAGTAACTTCCAGCAACAGTTTCTAGAGCTAGTGTAAGTACTGTTCCGAGTGCATCGCCCTGGAGTGCAGTGGCCGCGGATCGAATGTGAATCTAACAAAAGGTACTGCAATATAGAATTAACGCTGTTTTCAGCGGGTCGAATACAATGCTATAAATTCGTTCGACGAGACAGAGCTCTCTGTTAGAAAAAAAGCATCGAACTCTTCAGCTTACGTTCTTTTTTCAACTGTATAGAATATATCTTTCTTGAAACGAAGAAACGCGAGCGGAAATTTCCAGCAATAATTCACATCGTTGATTTCTTTGCTCCTTTTTTAATTTCCGTTCGGAATATATCGTTCACCTATCACGTTCCGAAGCATCCTCTCTCCGCTATCACTTATATATAACGAAGCATCAGGTTGTAGTCACGTTCACCCTCCATCAAGGACAAATTAACATCCCCTTGAGGAAGCCTCTGCGCCGCTGCGCCATCCGATTTCAACTCTCGAGCCTTCGGAATATTCTCAAATATTATAGATGCAAACAATTACAGTTTTATCGAGAGTTTCGACGATAACAAGAGTTTTTATACTTGTTACTTGTTGCTAAATGCGACTTCGGTTTACTTAACGTCTGGATGCTAATGTGAATATATGACGGGAAATGCACTTAATCTTGTTTAATTTAAATGCATGATATACATGTGATGAGCAGCGATTCCTATGTTCGACATCGAGGTAGAGACATTTGAAATATTGCGACACTACCTTGTTTACGTGTCTAATCTTATACAAAAGAATAATGACAATTCAAATAAAATTTTATTAATTTTTTTTTAAATATATGAACAAATATATGAACAAACAAATCCCCGCTTGAAGAGTAAAACATAAAATAAATTGTTTTTGAAAGATAATTATAGTTGAAGAGCATTTTCATACGCAACTCATGAACGCGACACATGAATTGACCTTTAAAAAAATAAAGAGATACATAAAATAAAACACAAACCACGCGTCCATTCTTACCTGGGCGTGACGCAGCGCAGCCTCTTCACACCCTGCACATCGTACACGCCGCCACGAGAAACTACCACAGTTTCTTGCTGTAGAACTGACGATCACCACTCGGCGGAGTTGGTTCGGACAAACTCCTGAACCCCATGGACGGCCGGTTCCGCCGCAGCGATAGCACTGACTGACAATGTCGAGGGAGCAGGATAAGGAGAAGGTACAACAGGCGACGCAGGCGAGGCGCAGGGCGTGCGTCGGATTTGAAATCGATTGCACCGCGCCGGGCAGCGACTGACAAAGACGCAAAATGATACAGTGAGAAAGAGAGAGAGACAGAGAGGAGGGGAAAGGGATGGGAGAAGTAGGGAGGGAGAGAAAGAGAAAGAGAGAAAGCAGAAGTACCGTCGTCGTCAACAATAAAGAGGAGCGTCTAACGGAAGGATAAATGATAACGTCACCCAAACTGACGTACCAAAAGGAATTTCTAGTGTGGACGATGCAACAACGTACTATATTCTGTATTAATGATGGAAATTCATTGTTAGAGAGAAAGAGAGGAAAAGAAAGGAACGTTCACCGGTGATGCGGCGAACACGGTCGACGACGGGGTTGCCTGTATAGTTTCATTGAACTGCTCATTCTATTTTTATTCTTTTACAAAATTAAGAAGCCTTAAGGAAAATTGAAGGTATATCATGGTGAGGCCAGAATTGTACGGCAATTAGTGGATGAGTATTAATAAAAACGTAAAAATAAAAAATTCCCAGGATTTTTTCGTGGAAGGGTTTCGTAGGGCGCACAACATCGATTAGGAACACTTGTTGCGGGTGGGACGAGAGAGAGAGAGAGAGAGAGAGAGAGAGAGAAGAGAGAGAGAGAGAGAGAGAGAGAGAGAGAGAGAGAGAGAGAGAGAGAGAGAGAGAGAGAGAGAGAGAGAGAGAGAGAGAGAGAGAGAGAGAGAGAGAGAGAGAGAGAGAGAGAGAGAGAGAGAGAACACGAGGCAAATGCGGTGACCCACGCTCTCCAGAAGAAATTATGAGAAAGAAAGATTTATGCCATTTCTAATGGAAGCCGAGAGAGAAAATGAGAGCCATTAAACAGAAGCTTAGTAATAAAGAATAGTGATAAATTACACAAATTATTTTCTTGTTTGAGAGATTTTTTTTACAAACATCATTTAGTAATGTGATTTTATATAATATTTGATAGTATATATAGATAAATTAAATTATTGAAAAATTTATGGTAATTATAACATCAAATTAATGTAATACATTATATTTCTAGCATAGTATGAAATATCAGTACTAAGAAAGATTTGTTTTTCTTAAATATCAGAATCTACATAAATAAAATAATTATTTATATATGATATACTATATATTACCTTAATTCTCATGTTGTTTCCAAGTATATTCGTATTTTATCTCTTATTTTCGGTTTGTCCTCAAAAATTTCTTTCGCTATTTGTGATGGATAAATGTGAATCGTTTGAAATTGGACACAATTGGCATTTAAATTATGTAATATCTTGGATTGTATGAACTTATATAATGACATCAATTGCAGTGTACTTCAATGTTGATCTCGATTTTATCAAATTTCTCTTCGAAATAACACTTAAAATCTTTTTTATATTTAGAATAAATATCTACATATTCAGATGTGTGTTTCGAACCTTATTTTCTAAAAAAGAGAGGGAGAAAAACGATTATTAAAGTGCTAAAATTTCGTCTAAATTGATATTATTCTATCAATATAACAAAATTTATAATTTATATATGATTAATAATATAATATATATTAAACAAATATTTCATCACACATATTTCAAAAATTAAAATATTTAGGTTACAATTAATTATCTTACTTTTTTCCTCATTAGAATGTTACCTAATTTTATGAATGTACTAAAACTAAACATAATTACCTGATTTAATTGCTTATGAATATTCTCTTCTTCTTCTCTCATCTAAATATTTGCATTATTAAATAATCACAAGGGTCGGCAAGGGTTAACCAAACTTTTACGTCCAAATTTTTATACCCGTTGGGTGCATTCAGTACTACAACCGCTCACTGAGCGCTAAGTGAGCTCTTGCATCTGATTGGTGTATATTTTTAAATTATAGGAATATACCAATCAAATGTAAAAGCTCATTGAGCGCTCAGTGAGCGGTTGTAGTACTGAATGCACCCATTGGCTTCTGCGCACTGTTATTACCGGAAATTTAGCGCGACATCTGTCGGGGGAATTCGCAATGACTCTCAAAAGCGGAGGAACGTCCTTTTTTCCGGTATAAAAATCTGTTAGGTGCGTGTTGCTCATGGTTTTGTAAGATAATCTATAAACATCGAGGAATTAAAGTAATTTCTCGTAGAATTTGCATTATATTTGTAATTAGTACGCATCATAATTTCTATTCGTACGCGAATGTTTGGTTTTTCAGTTCTATCTCAGAAATATTCATTAGCAAAATCAAAGTTAACCTTACATATCACATATCGCGTTTATTAATATTTGATTGTTCAATAACCGTGACCGTTCACAACTTTATTGTTTGTTATAATGTTGCACTAGAAATATTTTTTATTTAAATTACAAGTTTTCATTGTTATTTATTTTACATGTGATATAAAAGGTTATGTGACGCTCAGTGCTATGTTTACTAATGAGAAAATATCGCAATATAACTTTAGAGATTAAAAAAAAATAATATGCTAATTTTAATTATATATATAAAGAAAATTGCTAGACAATATATTAGTGTTTTGCATCTTTTCTATAGGATTGCTTTTTTTCTTTTCAGCACACATCACCAAGATGGTGAAAATTATGAAGACAGGAAAAGTCGTACTGGTCCTTAGTGGCCGGTATGCAGGAAGAAAAGCCATTGTTATGCGTAACTATGATGATGGTACTACTGAAAAGCAGTATGGACATGCTATGGTTGCAGGTATTGATCGATACCCACGCAAGGTCCACAAAAGGATGGGAAAAGGAAAGTTGCACAAACGGTCCAAAATCAAGCCATTTGTTAAGGTAAATTTTTTATTTAATCTCAAAATTTTGTTTATGTAAATGTCACATTAGAAAGTTTTAATTAAACGATATCACCAGAATCTTTTATATTTTTATCATTATATTTTGTTTGCTTACATATGATCATTATATTCCTGCAACTTACTACTCACTTTAAATATTTCAGATCTTAAATTATAACCACTTAATGCCAACAAGATATACTGTAGATTTACAATTGGACAAAGTAGCTCCAAAAGATCTCAAAGATCCAATGAAGCGTAAGAAGGTTCGTTTCCAGACCCGTGTCAAATTTGAAGAAAGGTATGCAATTTAATCATCTTCCATTACTGTTAAACTTATATAGATCCATTTGTTAATAACTGGGTTTTTCATTAATAACAGATGTTCACTGTATGAAAAATCTATATATATATATATATATCTCATGTTGTACATAATATACATATAATATACATATAATATAGATTTCCCATACTGACGATGAATATCAGAATGTAATCAATATATACATCATTTCATATTTAATAATTAATTTTATAATTGTTTTTAGGTACAAGAATGGCAAGAATAAGTGGTTCTTCCAGAAGCTAAGATTTTAATTCTTTATAAATAAAATTCTGAAATATAAAGAGAAAATGTAGTTTTTTCTATCTTATCATCCTACACCAAAATTATATTGAAACTTTGTATCTTTAACACATTTTATTTTTTACGGACATTAACTATTATTAAGTTATACATAATATAAGCTAGAGTTACCCACACCACACATTTGTAGTGTTCAATAAAAATTACAATTTTTTTACTAGATTTCCAATTTATTTTAGTTCACATGCTTTATATATGAACATATATACTTCTCGCTTGTGCATTACACCAAAATGATGTTCAGATAGAAGGCTTATATTATTTTATATACTACCATTGCAAAAAATATATTCATATCCAAAGTATTTAAAAGTTAATGAATGAAGCAATTGCATATGATCAAAAAAACTTACAAATTAAATTAAATAATATACAATAATAATAAACAATAATTTAATATTATAGGAGTGTGTATATACCAAATAAAGCGATTTGAGAAAATGGAATCAAGCTAGCAATATATTCGTAACTAGATTTAATACGTTCATTCAATCACTTCTTGAACTTTTTAACACGTTCGTCCAGTAATGCTATGTTACTTTTTATGATTTCCATGTTAGAGGCAAAACTCTCCTGCACTCCTTTCAATAGTGATTTATTGCTTTCTAACCCCGACGTGATTTCTGCTTGCAGTTCTTCTAATCTCATCAAAGCTTTACTAAAAGTAGCAGCTGCAAAATATGACATATTATTTTAATATATTTTCTCTAGAAAATGTTCCATAGTTCATTGACTAAAAGTAATATTTTACTGTTTTGCTAAAAAAATGTTGCAACCTTCAATAAGTTAATTGTACACATTTAAAGTTCAGATGCCATTTTACCTTGTTGATGAATCTCATTGAGTGCTAATAGCCTGTTTACAGTTTGCGGTAGAATTTGCGATATAGCATCTGTTTTCTTCATTATTTCATACATTTCTGCAATCTGTGGAAAAAATAATACGTTACAAAATATAATATTACAGTGCTGATTTTAATAATTAAACAACATATTATACTTTTTGTTCTTGTTCTGAATCTTGTGTCACTGCTGCCTTTTTCTGTGCAATGCTGTCCATCCTGTAAATTAATGTACCTAATCTAGTTTCAATGGTATCCAATTGATTAACATCTAGCAAAGAAGCTTTTGCCTCTAGTTGTTGCACAGCATCCATTATGCCTTGGGACTTCAGATACTAAAAAAAGAGAAAAATTTATGAGAAATCCTATTTCAAATGTACATATAGAAGAAAAGGTTCCTGATTCATACCTGTGAAAATTTAGAAAGCTTGTCATTACTTGTACCTATAAGATTTTCCAAACAACAAAGTCTCTGTTCAAGTTGTGCAACCCTAGCAACTTCTTGCATTCTTGCCTTTTCCGGAAGGTACATCATCTGATACTTCAGAATACCAGGTTCAGCCGATTCATCCATTTTTGTATCCTCTGATGATGACTTAGATGCAGGCACGTTAGTTTGCTTAAACAACTCTATCTGTGATATGAGTTGCCTGGTGGAACATTGATATAATATAACATCCTATACATATATATGTTTCTAAATTGAGAAATTTAATGTCATAATTCTTAAATGCCATACTTAAGTGTAGTGCCTTGTGGATCTGATAAACTTGCCACAACATCAGGTCCTAGACATTCCTCTAGTTTTAAAGAGACTAATTGCTTTTCTATTTGCTGTGTTTGAGAGATTATTTCACTTGCAGACTTGATTTCTTGCTCATCTTTAGATTTTTCCTAAATATATTAACAAGATATAATTCATGTTATCTTTAAAACTACAAAATGATTATTTATCTTATTAATAATAACATCATGTACTTTTAACTCATTCACTTCTTCATACAATTCTTTAACTTCACATTGCAATCGTTGGTATTTCTGTAAAGGAGATTCCTTTTCACCTTGACTAACTAGTTCCCAATCCCAATCTCCAAATCTGTAAATACTTGAATAATATATTCTTTTGCAAAATAACATGTGTCATTAAAATAATGCTCAAGTTAAAGTTACTTGTATCCTGTCCTAGGTTTGTATGATAAGCGATCTGAGAAATCAACATGTTCCCCAATGATTTGTTTGCCTTTAAACTTGTTGAATGCTTCTTTAGCACTGATATGTAACTGTTCCACACAGGAGCTGTCAGGTTCATCCTAAGTAGAGATCAAATATATATTAATATGTATATTAAATACTATTGCACATACATATATACAATGTAATGAGATTTTTATTTTACCTCACAATACATTGGCATTTGCTCTGATTCTGGTAGATCACTTGTCTCGTAGACCAGTTTAGCATCATCAAGTTGATCATATGCCTACAATGTTTATTGCAAACATAATACAGCACAGAACTATATGCATTTTTTACTCATAACATGACACAAAAATATGACAAACTAACACGTAAAGAACTTACATTTCCGGCTAACTCAGAATATTTTGGGTCCGCCATTTCTTAGGTTTCCCAAAATTGCTCAGAAATTCTGCGGACGATCACCAAAATCGCTACAAAATTTCACTTTTGACAGATATCGCTTAAGCGATATGTGACCGACATATACGGTTTAGAACAACCTGGGAATAGCGAAAATATAGAAGAGTCATCTCCAAAGTAATGAAGGCAAACGCCATCTTTGGTTGAAAAAGTGCATATCCATAGAGGAAAGTGCGCATAAGCTGAAAAATTTAAATATCAAATAACTTTTAACGATTTTATTACGAAATTTAAATAAAAATAATTTATCATCATTGCATATAGTTATAAAATAATTTATCGTTATTGCATATAGTTATTGCGTATAATTAAGTTTGCAAGGATTATGAATATTATATCGAAAATATCCCTAAGTAATTTATCTTTTAATTGCTTCTTTAACATTATATGAACATTATATGAACAAATATTAGAGTTTAAGAAACATATGATAAGATTAACTTATAAAAGTACGAATGTATAGTGCAAATATATATCGAATATTGCCGGTTAGTAAATTATAAAAAATAAAGAACCGGTTTTTGGCTGCATTAAAATTCATACTTGTACCTTTGATGTTATACGTATGGACGTTCTATTGAAAAATGTCGTCCAAAGTTCCCTAAGAAAAAGTGATTCTTATCGAAATCAGCGATTAAAAACACTGGATAACGATGTTCATATTTCTATAGCTGAATTTTCTATCGTATTTACTCAGTATATATCGAACCTTTTATTCGAATAACTGCAAGCGAATTTCTCGACCATATGGATGTGTATGTATATTAAATTGAGGCTTATTAATCTCAAGTGCTCAGGATATATACAACATGCATGCTACATGAAATATCCGAATCACTACTGATCGATTCAGTGTAGTCTGTCTTTATCTATGATATAATAATTAATAGTGATCTATATTGATCGTGGGGTCCATCATCGCAGGTAATTTATCCTACTTGTGCATTGATCAAGTGCATTCAATCACACATACGTGGTGTGCGTATGTAACTCTCTGCTGAGATATTTTTAAATCTCCATTTGCTATCAGTGAGATGCGTTTTATGCCGAATAAACTATATTTAGTTTTGTATATTTAGTTTTGATGATATAATATTTATGTTACAACATTTGTTGTTCATCTTTAAATTTTTGTTTTTAGCAATATCATGGGATTAGCCTCAAGTTATCTACAGAAACCAGCAATGTACAAAGTAGTTTCTAATATACCAAAATATGCAGTAAGTACATATATGTTTATATATGTTACAAAAAAAGCAACAAGATATTCTTCCATTAATTAAATTAATAGGTCTATAATAACAAACTATCGAAAGTACCAATTCTGCATGGGTTATCTATAACGACGTTAAACCTAAATAAACAACCAGTGCCTAAGCAACCTGTACCAGATCTTAAGCAAACTGCAGAACGCTATTTGAAGTAAATATTTTCTTTGTATTCAGTCTTATTAATAAATATTATTATTATTATCTATAACATATTCATCTCACATAGATCCTTAAAGCCATTATTGACTGATGCAGAATATAAAAGTACAGAAAAAATTGTACATGAATTTATAAGTGATTCTGGTGTGGGATCGCGGTTACATGCTAAATTACTACAGAAATATAAAAACACTGATAACTGGGTAATTATTACATCTATATACTTTTTCTAGATATAATCTATATCTAATTTATATACTTTTTCTAGATATAAATGTTAATCAGTTAGTATTTATCTATTTCTAGATGCGAGAATGGTGGCTGCAAGCTGCATATTTGAGGTACCGTGCTCCAGTGATTGTTAATTCTAGTCCTGGGACTGTTGGGCCAGCAATTACTTTCAAGAAACCAGATGATTTATATGTATGTGCAGCACATCTTATTGCTGGAGTATGTAATTATAATCAAATTGTCAAAAGGTAAGTTTTTAGTATCTCTTGTTATGTCCTTTTATTTAAAATTTATATGATACATGTGCAATATTGTAGTGGAAAAATGAAGCAGGAAATGGTACGCAATGATCCACTTGACATGCAGCCTTACGCCATGATACTTGGCACACACAGACAGCCCAATAAAGTAATTGACAAGTTATTGCATACAGACGAAGCTAAGCATATAATATTCATTAGCAACAATCATGTAAGTACAACAATTTTACTTTAAATGAAAAAACAGCTATTCATATTCTATTGACATTGCAGTTTTTTAAACTCTGTGTTATCAACGAAGACGATAGCATTTTAAGTGAGAGTGAACTTGTGGCTGCTATAAGAGACATCATGAATCGTTCATATATGGAAGGAAAACCTGTAGGAATTTTAACAGGCAACGACAGAGATACTTGGGCAATCGATAACAGCTTACTTTTAGGTATATATTTCTTTTTCTTTTCCGTTTCTCTTCTAATGATTTATTAAAACATTGTATTTCTAGAACTAGGTAATAATAGGAATATAATCAAAGATATAGAAACATCCTTATTTGTACTGTGTTTGGACAAAGATATACCTAAAGAAGCGTTTAAAGAAAAAAATAATGCTTCTGTTAGAGCAGTTCAAACTATGACTGGATTTAATAGTTACGTAAATGCAGGTAACAGGTGGCATGATAAGACTGTGCAGGTAAATTACTATTAAATTAGTTCTCAATAGAACGATAGAAATTAATAAACATTCTATTCTTACGTTGAAAAATAATTTAAACAGTAAAAATATTTTACAGTATATAATATCAGCGGATGGTTATATCGGCATGGAATACGAACATAGTCCGTGCGAGGGTATTCCAATTGCTGTTCTTCATGATTATGTATTGAAATACATGTTAGTGATAATAATTGTATTGTCAATACATTTAATATATACCGATATATAATATTTATATAATTTATATAAACTATTATTATATATTTATATAAACTATTTTGTAATGATATTTATAAAAAAATATTTTTAGAGCATCAAGAGAAAATGATGCAAGGAGCGAATGTTCTAAGGACTTCCCGAGACCAGAACTTTTGAAATTTGAAACTAATGATGCTATAGAGTGCGCAATCGAAAAAGCTACGATTACAGTAAATAAGTAAGTTCATTTTTGTTCTTTTGCGATCATAAAATTTAATTGATATAATATATAATTAATATAATATATACAATCTTTTTCCAGACTCTCCAACGACATAGACATGGAATGCTTCACTTTTGATAAGTTCGGTGCGGATGCAATAAAAGCGATAAAACTCAGTCCCGACAGTTTTATACAGATCGCGATGCAAGTGACTTTCTATAACTTGCAAAAAAAACCACCAGTTCACTACGAGAGTGCAGCGTTACGAAGATTTATAAACGCTAGGACTGAATGCATCAGATCCACTTCTATTGAGTCCGTCGAATTTGCGAAAATGATGCTCTACGATGTCAGTCATAAAACTAAAGCGCAAAAGAAAGAAATGATGATCAAAGCTATCAATGCTCACAAAAATTATGCCGGACAAGTGAGATAATTTCCAGAATAAAATTACTATAGTATATCATAATTCGATAAACTGAAATATAAAAACTAAAATTAATGATCTTCGTTGTTGCAGGCTGCGACCGGTCAAGGTGTTGATCGACATTTGTTCGGTTTAAAAATGATAGCGCAGAGCGAAGGCATCGAACTTCCGGAATTGTACAAGGATATCGGTTATACTAGAAGCACATACTTCACTTTAACATCGAGCCAGGTAATTGAGTGTCATTGTAAAAATAATAGATCAATCAAGTAGAATGTCGTTCTCACTAAAAGACATACACAGTGTGGATTAATAAACTTTTGCCATTCGCAGGTACCGTATAAAACAGCATCGTTTATGTGCTACGGACCAGTCGTTCCCGACGGTTATGGTTGCTGCTATAATCCACGACCGAAGGATATATTATTCGCTTGTTCTTCATTCAAATCGTGCGAACAGACTAATACAAAAGACTTCGCTTGCGTTTTACAGCAGACACTGTGCGATATGCGAGACATAGGAAGCGAGTGATATTAATGTTAATGAAATATTGTTTGGAAATTCGGAATTTTTCGTCGCAATTAGAAGTCTTCCTGCAGTGAATATTTATACATTATTATGATGAGGTGTGGTAATAAATAGAACAAAGCAGTTCGAGTCGAGCGGACGTTAGTTTTATACATTTTTTATCATGAAATGAAAATTGGGAATATTGGTAATTAACAATATTTCGCGAAATATCGTTCTAACGAATTACTCTCGACTGTGTTTTGTATAAGATTTAATTGTACAATTTTTAATCATGATCATGTATACGTTATATATGTTAAATTACTAATTCATAAATATATATGTTATATTAGAAAGTTATCACACTATTTATTAAAAAATCTTCAGTCACTCGTGCTTAACACGAACGAAATACCATATTACAATTCCTCATGGATCATGGAAGATCTCTCGTTGGGGAAACCCCAGAAGAAAGTTGGGAATCCTTTGATTTCTCTTTCTCTAGCCACAAAAGCTGAAAAAGAAGAAATACAATTTCCTATGAAGTAATTCGCTCGTCCGAGAATCGCTAGATCCAAATGAGGTGACGCTGGTGGTTCTTGACGAAATACTGGTATCTATAAAGAAGAACGAGAACGTTGATATATGACCGGCGATGTCATAGTATCGACGGGATAAATATATGGGATTACCTTCATACGTGCTAAGGCTTTTCCGAGTTCGTTCAGCGTATGATTTCCGTCGGATGCTACAAACACCGATTTCACATCGTTGCCATTGCGAATGACGCGTTTCAAATGACGTACTATTAATTCAAACGACGGTAGACACATGGATGATGTTGCCTTGCCGCGTTCATTACGATATCCAAGGCACTGAGGAGCAGCGAAGAGATTAGGTGTAGTCGAAATAAATTCACAGGCGCGTACCTGAATTGAAGACATAATGAATGAAAAATCAGTATTTTTCAAATGTGTATTGTTGATTGCAATGGATAGAAGGACTATTTGTACACACTTCAATTTTTTTGGAATAAGTATACACAAAAGAGAAGAATGTTTTGAAAATTATTTCTATTTAAATATTGCTTGCATTTATATTGTAAAAAAAATTGTAACAGTCTTCTTTCTGTATTAGATTATCCCAACATGAATATACATACTGCAAATAAATTACCCAATCAAAACCATTCCTCAGATGTATACCCACAAATGCACCTTTTGGTAATGTTTTCTTTATGAAAACTTTTGTTTTATCTAGTATATCATTGTTCCAATTGAGACATGCATGCAATTTCTTGTTTTCAAATTGCACTGGGAAACTAGCAGGAGCACCTGTAAATGCCATTACTGGCCAATTTGCAGCTGGATACTGTTTGCGCCACTGCATTTTCATATCAGTGTGATACATTTCATAATGAAGTGGACCATAAAATTCTGACTTGATAAAATCTATATTATATGTATCCCAAAAAGGTCCAAATGGATTTCCTTCTTTTGCTTTGCAGGAATCTCCTTCTTTACCACGAGGGGAATAACAGAAAGCTAAGGACAAAAAAGGAAGATAAAAACTTGTTTTTTATAGAATCAATATTTAGAACTTACATACTCTTTCCTCAGGAGGCCATATCCTTGGTGCAATGTCTCTCATAAAATCTTCCATTAATAAAGCTTTGTGATAGCTCTGTACTTGTGAAACATTAAAATAAGTATCAAAGGATACCTGTATCTAGAAATAAAATTAAATTAATGTTAGATACACATATAATCTTTGCAAATACGATTACTTTAAAAGTTTTATTTACAGATCTTAATTCTCCTGTACGATATTCAACCCATGGTGGTAATACCAAGGTGCGATTCAAGGACTTGGCAAATCCTAAAGCTCCTAAAAAATGATCTGCTTGATTGCCAAAACGTCCTGGAATAAAATTCGCGTATAAATAAAACCTATTAATATTTATATTAAATAATAATATATAGGTTAAAATCATCATAAAAATTAAAATTTTACCCATGCAAGGACAGTAAATAATGTATCCATTTCTGTCAATATCAATATCTTCACAAGATGCAACGTAAACATTTATAAAAAATAATGTAAAAAACAATTCTCTAGACATCATTATCATTTATACTATATCTTATTATTTCCAGAAATTTTTACAATATATAAAATGTTATTTATGCAACCTGGCTTATGAGGTTAAATATAATAGAGGTTAGTATCTAGTTAGTCTACTTTTCAGTTTCTATGGATACAAACATTGATAAGGGTCTACACTCTACAGGAGCCAAGAGCAAATTTTAAATTGACTTTGGTGGCATCATGCGGCAAGAATAAGAAACAGCGCTTCTATGTGTAGATATATGTACAATTTATATATTTATAAGATTTATTTATAAGATCTTATATAATAAATAATTTAATAATATTGAAGTAATTTAAAAGTGTACATACAAATGACAATTTAAGGGTCCGAATACACAAAAACTTAAGTAATAAAAGAATTGATTAATCAAAATCGATTATTAATTTATTTACTGTTTATCTTACTGCTTGTGTTTTTCTGTACATCCGGACCCTGATCTTCTACGTTGTCATATATATAGTTACTTAGAATTTGGATAAAAAGGATATATATATACACACAAGGTGATATGCAAAGTGCGAAAGTAAACGCGAGAGAATAGGAAAAAGCAGCGAATTATTTTCCATATATTTTTTTCTTACTAATATTTTTAATTTAAAATAACAAATATAGATACACAATTATACAACTTATAAATTATTTAGCTTTACACAAATTGAATCACACAAGGTACAAATTAAAAATAATGAACGATATACATAATATACATATCACTTTGTGTATATGTATATTTTACATAATATATTTTAAAACAAATTTGCGTTATTTATATCGTGTTATTATTAAATTATGTAATTGTATTATTTGTTAACTCGCGCGATATACAGATATTTCTTTTGCACATGTATATTAACTATATATGAATTTATTTGACTGGTTAAAATAAAAGAAAATAATTCAAAGCTCATCGAAGGATCGTAAGAACATAATAAATGAATGTACAATTTCAGTATAAATACTGAGAAATGTGGCAATGATCCACAATAACAAACATATTTAATATGCATCTTTTCAATATATAATCTCTTTATTCCACTTTGCTCGATGGTGATTCATTGAGATGGGCTCCTCTATGTTTTGGAGGAGCATTCATTGGTGTTAATGGCAACAAAGAACCGAAGAAGACATGTTGGATAACAGGAAACTTTGATAATACCTAGGAAATAATAACATAATAAATAACAATGGTTTAATTTCTATTTGCATTTTCTCACTACTACTACATACTGTGTAAAATGATTCATGTTGAGCATTTTGGAAAGATATAATTGTAATTACCTCTGCTTTGTACATTTTAATAAGACCACTATTCACTTTTGACCATGAAGATACAGCACTAACATTCCACAACTGATTTGAATGTTCAGCAAAAGGCCCTATTTTTACCTAATAATATAATTAATGTCAAAATGTAAATTCTTTAATTTTAGTGAAGATAAATTTCGTATCAAGATAGATTAAATCTCTCTCTCTCTCTTATTTATCTATCTATCTCTTTGTTGTGGCTTATATAATTATTCATACCTTTGAAATAAATTCAATGCAACCAAGGAACATGTATTTTTTGCTGTAAGATTGTATAATACCTTGATCTATAAAGTGACGTGGTTCTATTCGAGGATGTCCTAAAACATTAGATAAAATAAGAATATCTGTGTTGTGAATATTCTGAATAAGACATATATTAAATTCTAAGATCATTATATCAATAAAGTGTGTGTATATGTAGAGAAAAGGATAATGATACATGTAAATATCAATACCAATGAGCTGAGCACTTCCCCATATAAAAGGAACAAATTGATAATCATCCAAACTCCAAACACCATGACTACCTGCTGGTTCCATGCGATATATCAACTGAAGTCTACGTGCCAATTCGAGATACCTATAATACAATGCAAAACAAATTTAAACATTTCATTAATCCATAAAAAAGCTGGAAACTATATAATAATAAGTACCTATTAAAGACTTTTATGACGACAGCAACTTTGTCTTCCTCTTTAAATGCACCTATCTTAAACATACAGCAAAGAAACATAAGAAAAGCCATTTCATGACCAGTACCGTAATCTATACGAGTTGGATTGCCAAAACTCTCATATAAATATTGAACTATTTCTGGAACAGCACGGTGTAACTTTTCTGGCAACACTTGTTTTAATTCTTCAGCTCCATTCTATAATTAAGAAATCAATCACAAATAAAATTATTCAAATTTGAATAAGTTTTAAATAAAATATTACCATACCTGCTGTAGTCTTTCATGCCATGTACGAAATGACTTATTACCAAATCTTTGAGGCTGTTCAGTAGGTGGAATTTCTGTTATCCATTCATCAAACTTGTTTAACATCTGTACTACAGTACTAACTAGAGGAGATTCCAAACATTCTACATCTAAAGCCTTTCCTTGAACAGCTTCATTCAATGCTAAGATAAATCCTAAGTATTCCTATAAAAATAAGATTTTATTATTTATAGGAATAAATATAAAAATATTATCTAATATTTACAGTTTTAGATGAATTTTACATATAATTAGAAAGTTCTAGTATTAAACAATAAAAATTCTAGTATTAAATAATAAATATTTCAAAAATTATCTTACAAAGTATGCTTCTGACTTTTGCCAAACTCCTATATCCATTGGTACCTTAATACCTTTCTTTGGCACAACAAATTCATGTTGATCAGCTAGAATAATAAGTTAATATATATTTTCTAAATATAATTGTATTTAATATCTAATAAAAAATACATACGTAGTAATTGTATTTCTTTTATGGGAAATTTTGGCGTTGACATGATGAATATATTTAAAGATTTAGTTGCAATGTCAATAGATTTTGTTAATACAAAGCAATTCTAGTTTTATCACTAAAGACATTTCCTTTAAGGCTCGTCTACATTAGCTGTAAGAGTAAGGCTGTAAGGTTACAAGACACGAAATGAAATATTTTCATTCGCTGACAGCTTACGTTGCAGCCTTACAGCCTTACTCTTACAGCTATTGTAGACGAGCCTTTAGGCTCACTATTAAGTTCAATCATATACGATTGGTCTTGATGTTATTCGCTATAGTAAATTCGATCCTGCAAATATCATAAATTGAGAATGCTTAATACAGAAAACAATTTTACTTTGCAACACTTTGACAAGTTGTATCTCACGTAAGGTCAGAGCAAAATAATTCTTTTTGTATGAATTATTTGGTATAAAATATAAACACGAAAGATATGGAAACAGGTAAACTTATTGTTCGTTCGTTCGGTATATGGCTTTAGATAGAAAGGCGTACTCATACGCCATTCTCCAGGTTAACTTATTGACGACTAATGTCCGTTTCTACCAACCGTAGTTAATTTAACCGACTGATTATTCCATCGGAATGGACCAATCGCACTTAATAATTCTGGTTAATGACAAATGTGACTGGTCAATTCCGTTGGCGTAACCAACCGGTTAAGTTAACCAAAGTTGGTAGAAATGGGCATAAAGCCAGCGGCCTACGGTGTTTGTTTTCATGCTGGATCTAAGCCCAGTTCCACAACTTGTTTTAAACGGAATTTAAAGCAAGTTGTGGAATTGGGCCTTAATGGCCGCGTTCAGTAGAACAAAGTGATTAGAGAGCACTTAGTGATTATTGTCTATGATTGGAGCATTCTTTTAGATTCTTCATAGACCCAGAAGTATTTACCAATCAGGAGCGAGATTCAGTGAAAAATCTAGTAATGTTGTCCAACTGTTGAGTCTGCTGAATGCAGCCAATGTAACGTCAGTTCAGATAATGGCTGCGTTTAGCAGAACAAAATGATCAGTGAGCACTTAGTGATTATTGTCTGTGATTGGAGTATTCTTTTAGGTCTTTCATAGACCCAGAAGTATTGACCAATCAGGAGCGAGATTCAGTGGAAAATCTAGTAATGTTGTCCAACTGTTGAGTCTGCTGAATGCAGCCAATCACAGTTTAAACTTGATTTTGTGGAACTGGGCCTAAGCGGTTAGTGATTATCGTTCTTGATAGATTCATTTGCTGGATTCACACTGCATCCGACGTACGACGCTCCGCAACCAATCAAAAAGCAGAATTTTACTTCGTATCATCGGATCGCTTGGCCGTCCGTCATCGTCCGATGTCGGACGAAATGTTGGTCATGATTCAACATTTGTCGTACGATAACATATGGTATGAAGGGCAATCTGGACAAAATTGGGAAAAGATGGTATACCTTACTCACCTTAATATATTATAAAGTTTATGTCATTAGAGTTGTCGATAGACAGAATAGAGTTTTGTTACTTAGTTTGAGACATTTTAGCACACAAGACATTTTAGCATACAAGACATTTTTTCATGTCAGACTTTTTTCATACAAGACATTTCTTATGGTCGGAAAGTAGGCGATAAAGTAGAGTTAACAATAGTGAAGAAAAATATTACACATATCTTACACATATATATATTACACATATCTTGTTGCCCGTACATAACTACTCTTATGCGTATTTCTTGCTGTCATGAGTCTGTGCCATTGGCTGTCACTAGACGATTGCGCATTCGACCTGCGCAGACAAGGAAAGAAAACTTCCCCGATATCTTGCCTCTCTCACCGTTCTGCCAAACCCGCTATGCTCAGTCTATTATATATGTCTATGGAATAAATAAATATCAATTCTAACTTTTTAGGTTATGCGCATATTACTATTAGAGGAATTGTAGTCACCATTAACCATTTACGCCATCTACAGACTTTAAATCGTATTAGTTAACGTATGCAGTATGAACAGCATTTCGCACGGCTTCGTCGGATAACGGACGACGCACGTCGGATGCAGTGTGAATCCAGCAATTCTCCTAGATCTGTTATGCCCGTTTCTATCGACTGTGGTTGATTTAACCAGCTGTTCATTCCAACGGAATTAACCAATTGCATCTGTCGTTAACCAATATTGGAAAATGCTATTGCAATCCAATAGAGTAATCAATCGGTTAAATTAATCACAGTTGGTAGAAACGGGCATTAGAGATCTAAAAGAATGCCCTATTGTCTGTACAAGTTAAAGATTTAAGCCAGTGGCACACGATGCTTGTTTCGTGCTGGATTGCTTGCTAGATGAAAATACTGCGTTTTGATTGGTGCATTTTCATCCATCTTCGGAAATGTACCAATCAGAATGCAATATTTTCATCCACCAAGCAATCCAGCACGAAAACAAGCACCGTGTGCCGCTGGCTTTACAGAAACCAAAAGCGAATAATAGGTCCGTTTGCCTTGCTTGCACTTTCGACACTTTTATACCTCATGCTTGTTGCACATTGATCTCTCTTTAAAAAGAACTCTCATTGGATATCGTTCATCTAGGGTGCAATGAGCATTAAATACAACTGTCAAAAGTGCAAGCAACACAACAAACTTTTAAATACATATATTTAAAACATTTTAATTATTGAGAATTTAACATAGTATATATAAATAAAAGGAGCAAATTTGCAATATAAAGAGCAGAGAAGCTATACGACAAAATGATAATTAATCTTTTTAGTATACCAATGTTTATCTGATTACTTTTTGGTTAAAATTTTGAGAAATGTTTGCGTTGAGAATTAACGTTAAGATGTTGTTTAAACTCAATTATATCATTTCTAAATAACAGTGTTCTATATATGATAGTTTATATTAATTGATAGCATCTATATAATTGTTTAAACGTGATATAAATAAACATAAAATAATTTGTACTTATCAAGTAATACTTGAGAAGAAAAAATGAGTATGACCTTTAAAAGATAATATTTTAATTTTATAGAATTATATTTATAAATATCTAATAAATGAAATTTTGTAGGTAAGACATGTTCTCCTGAAGAAATTGAAAAGAAACGCTTATTAGCATTGGAAAGAAGGAAACAAGCTCAATTAAAGACACAAAATATTACACCTAGAAATAATTTCACCCATCAACAATTGAAGCCTAATACAAATGTTATAAAACAGTATAAACAAAACAATCGTTTCAGTCCTATAGAATCCAGGAATTTCTTTAAATCATCATCTATTACTGGAAAATGTTACATGATCAGCAATGACAGATTTGCATTGGAAACATCATCATTTATACCTGCAATTATTGAAACATTTAAAACAGTTCCAAGCAGGTTATATGGTAATTATCTTTTAATCAACTTGAAGATCATAATTTTCATTTAATAATATATATTCATTATTTATATTTACTTGATTTTCCAGATCCAAAATCTAGAATATGGAATTTTCACATAAATGATTACGAGAACCTAATGCAGAAGTTAATACGGCACGAGCTTAAAATATCTATAACAAGAATTCCAGAAACTGTTCTCCAAGTAATCTATGCATTAATATAAAACAAATATAAATATAAACATAAATTTTAGAATTCTGTTGTTTTAGGTATTTAAGAGAAATTTAAAATTTGACATTCAAACATCAGAACCAGATTTATCAAAAATTGATAAAACATTAATAGATACTCTAATGCCTTTTCAACAAGATGGCTTATGGTAATCTTATAATCATTTGATATAATTGCATCTTCATTTAAAAAATTTTTAATATTAATATATTAAAAAATTGATTTTAGCTATGGTATATCCAAAAATGGCCGTTGCATAATTGCAGATGACATGGGATTGGGGAAAACTATACAGGCATTAGGCATAGCATATTATTTCAAAGCAAGTTGGCCACTTCTAATTGTAGTTCCTTCATCTGTTAGGTAAGTGTTTTGTAATACAGTAACAAAAGTAACAAGATTTTATAAAGTAGAAATACTATTTAGATTCCAGTGGTCAGAAGCAATTTATGAATTTTTACCATCCATACCTGCACAGTACATTCATCATTTTGCAAATACAAAGGATTATATTGGAGATGAAAAGATTACTATAATATCATATGACTTGTTGAGTCGAGCTGTAGATACTCTTCAGAAACATATTTATGGATTTGTTATTCTGGTATGTATATATTATTTTACATCAACAACATATTAACAACAAATATTACTCATTATTTCATGAATCTTAGGATGAGTCTCATCTGCTAAAGAGTAATAAAACTGTAAGATTTCAAGCAGCTCAACGAATATGTGCTCAGGCACATCATGTTGTATTGCTCACTGGTACACCAGCTTTGTCTAGACCAATTGAACTATATTCTCAAATCAATCTTATTATACCACGTTTTATGAAGTAAGTAAACGAAAAAATAGAAGAGCAAATTGTCATTAATAAGGATTTGTATAAATGCTTCATTAGTGTGTAAACGCCATTATACATTTATAACATTTTCATAAGTATCACATTGTAGATATGAAGAATATGGCATACGATACTGTGCAGGACAGAAGACCGCTTTTGGTTGGGATTTCACAGGCTTTTCAAATATGCAAGAATTGCAATTGCTACTAAAAATGACATGTATGATTCGAAGATTGAAAGCTGACGTATTAAATCAGTTACCATCTAAAATAAGGTCTTGAGAATAAATGCTTTTTATACTGTAAATAACTTAGGAAAATCTTTTTATATCATTATAATCATATAGAGAATTTTAATATCATATAAAAAATTTTATTCTACATCTTTGGTGTTATTTGTTTCAGACAAGTGATTATTTTAGATCCAGCCTTAATTAAAGCTGGCACTAAAGAGATGAAAAAAAAGTTCGAACAAATGCAAAAAACAACAACGGACTTCGATAAGCATAATGCCATGCTGCAATATTATTATGAATCTAGCATTGCAAGACTTAAAGCAGTATCGTATGTATATAGCACACATTTCTTCAGAAATATGTTAAGAAGTCGTTTAAATAAAATCGAATATTTTTTACATTACAGTGAATATGTAAAAGACTTATTTGAAAAAAAAAGAAAGTGCCTCCTATACGCTCATCATCAAAATATTCTTGATGCTATTTGCGACGTGGCTGAATCTATGAATATACAGTAAATTATTTTTGTATATTAAACATTATTATATATATCGTACATAATATATGTACATACATGTAACAATATCCAATATACGTAATAACTTTCAGATACATAAGGATCGATGGCAAAACTACTTCAGAACAGAGAAAATATCAAATCGATAAATTTCAAGAACATGATGATTATTTGGCAGCAGTTTTATCAATCACCGCCGCAAATGCGGGTATTACGTTAACAGCCGCTCATCTCGTGGTTTTCACCGAGTTATTCTGGAATCCTGGTGTAATTAATGTTCTTCATACTTATTAATACTTATTCATACTTATTAATGTTTTTCATACTTAATATTAATATTGCTATGTTCAAATTTTTTTTTCACTATCTTAATACTTTTTTTAATGTTTAACATTATTCTAGATTTTATGTCAAGCGGAAGACAGAGTCCACAGAATCGGACAAAATGATAATGTCATAATTCAATATTTAGTAGCAAAAGATACTGCGGATGATTACATGTGGCCATTAATTAAAAAGAAGATGGATATTTTAAATGCAGTTGGCCTCAATCAAGATTTCTCCATAAATGATGTTAATACGACGATGCAGAAAGAAACCGGACAGCAAAATTTGAATTCTTTCGTGACTATCTCTTCTCCTAAGAAGCAATCCGATAAAAAACAAAAGGATTGCTCAACTACGGAAGATATATCTACTTCCACTTGCATAGATGAATTTAAAGAATTACTTGAAATTGACGGAGAATATTTTGATTCTTGTGATTGGGATGATGTTATGTAAAACATTATTGTTTTATTAATACCTGATATATATCCCATTTACCTGTTCCTATACCAAATAATGATCAATTAATTTTTTCAATACTACCAAATTTCCATCATGTTATTAATGACTTTAAAGATTTATTTAAAATTGATGGGGAATATTTTGATTCTTATGATTGGGATGATGTAAGGCATTGTTTTATTAACACCTGATCCTATTTATCAAATCCTGTCCCTATATCAAATAATGGTCAATTTATATTTTCAACATTCTGCTGAATTTCCACTATGTTATTATAATATAAAGTCAAGATATAATGGAAAATACTCTAAATATATATTTATAATTATGATAGAAATGGACAATAATTATCCTAAATAAATAAAGTTATTTTTTTAAGAATATATTATCTGACATTTCTTAAACAATTTTACATTAACACCCATATTCATAGTCAGGCCTTATATTTAAGACTTCCTTAAGTTTATCTTCAGATGGTCTGTAGCCAATAAAATAATCCGTGTAGCATCTAAAAATAGATGTAAGGAGGTCTCAAATATAAGGCCTGATTATGAAAGACGGGTATAAGTTTATCTTTCTGAATTGAAGTACTATATTGCTATAGAAAATATACTACAGCAGATCCTTTGAAGTAACTAATAATCTTCCTTCAAAAACATCAATGCTTTGTTTCCAAATATATCGTTTCCATTTTTTTTATATAAGTTTCCTTATATAAAGTTGGTCTGTTTTCTTTAACTGTACTGCTGAACCAAGTGCAATAAGTAGCATCGGAAACACACGGTTTCTCTTCTCCAACTAGTGGTACTTTAACTCGTTATTGGAGTTAACGACAGTTTCGTTATTGTTGTGCAGCTTTTCTATACAAAAGCTGCGCAACGATAACGAAAGTGTCGTTAACTCCAATAACAAGTTAAAGAATCGCGCCGCACAGAGAAACATGAGAGCGGCCAACACGGCGTTTTCGACGACACCAACTTTCTGCACTGGCAAAAGGCGCCATCTGCATCCATTTTGAGAGGGGAACTACATCCACTTTCAGGTTTCGACGGTAAAACCTGCATGTGGTGGTAATCCGTGCTACATCCATTTTCAGGCGGTTTATATCCGTGCTACAACCATAATAGCGTACTTGACAAGCATGGTCTCGCACATTGTTACTGGATGCATTCAGTACTACAACCGCTCACTGAGCGCTAAGTGAGCTCTTGCATCTGATTGATATATATTTTTAAATCTAAAGGAGTATACCAATCAAATGTAAAAGCTCATTGAGCGCTCAGTGAGCGGTTGTAGTACTGAATGCACCCAATATCTCCGTTTCTATTGGGAATTGAAAGTCGAGCTTTATGGAGAATAGGATAAATATAGGACTATATTGTGGTAAAAGCGTATTCCTGTATCTTGAGTCGTTTAGGAGACAAAGGCCCGTTCCTGCATCTTTAACCGTTTAGAAGATATCGAAGGTTAAAGTTTTCCAACTTGTATCGTTAATATCTTCGCTTCTACTGGGAATTGAGAGTCGAGCTTTATGGTGATAGTAGGGTTGATATAGAATTATATTGCGGCAATAAAAAGATGCCTGTATCTTGAGCCGTTTGGGAGATATCGAATGTTAAAGTTTTCCAACTTGTATCGTTAATATCTCCGCTTCTACTGGGAATTGAGAGTCGAATTTTATGGTGAGAATAGGGTTAGTACAGAACTATATTGTGGCAGAAAAACAGGCCTATATCTTGAGCTGTTTAGGATCATCATCATGCGTCTCCATACATGTCAAATTGTTTATTATAGAAGAGACTAGGGCCGGTATTCATAGTCAGGTCTTATATTTAAGACCGTCTTAAGTTCACTTTCAGATACTCCATAGCCAATGAAATGATTTGTACAGCATCTGCAGATAAACTTAAGATGATCTTAAATATAAGATCCGACTGTGAATACTGGCCTTTGATACGGCAATACATATTCGAAGACTTAATATTTAATACATACTTTTATTTTTTCTGCTCCTCCCCCCTCTCCCTCGCTCTTTTTAGACCACCGGACGTAGTCTGGCATAGAGATGGAAACTGTGGTTGCAGCACGGATATAAACCGCCTGAAAATGGATGTAGCACGGATTACCACCACATGCAGGTTTTACCGTCGAAACCTGAAAGTGGATGTAGTATCGTAGTTCCCCTCTCAAGATGGATACAGATGGCGCCTTTTGCCAGTGCGGAATGTCGGTGTCGCAGAAAATGTCGTGTTGGCCGCTTTTAGGTTTCTCTCTGCTCCAACGATCTCTCGCTTGGTTGACGTGGTAGTCGCACGTTGTATATATCTTTTCCGTTTTGGTTGTAGCATAAGATTCGTGAGTAAGATGCAAAAGGTAAAATTTAAAAGATTTCACGCACAAACAAAATCTTGTAAGTTTCAAATATAATTCATTTATATCTTAACGCTTTTCTCCTTTTAGAAACAAAAGGAGCCGATTCATTCAGTACAGGTCTTCGGACGCAAGGTAAGGGACGAAAATAAGTGAGGTTAGTTTGTATACGCAATTCTCGTTTATATCATGTGTTTGATACAAATTTTCGTATATTTTAGAAAAGCGCGACTGCTGTCGCTTATTGTAAACGCGGACGTGGAAATCTCCGCGTCAATGGTCGACCGTTAGAGCTAGTTGAACCACGTGTATTGCAATATAAATTGCAAGAACCCATCTTGCTTTTGGGAAAGGTAAATTTATATAAAAATAGATACTTCAAAAGGTGATATAAGCAGCTATCCAACATCAATTAGCAATACTATTTATTTATTACTTTACACTTTTAATCTCAGTTTGTTCTACCTTATGATGTTTGACTTATTTCAAATATGATAATTCATAATTAGGAACAAGTATTCTGAGGTTATAAGTGTGAAACTTATTGTTGCTAAATAAAGATATTTCTTATAACTATAATGACATTTGTCTGTATTTGTGTTCCAGGAAAAATTTTCTGGAGTTGACATAAGAGTAAGGGTAAATGGTGGAGGTCACGTTGCACAAATATATGCTATTCGTCAAGCCATTTCCAAAGCGCTTGTGGCTTATTATCAGAAATGTAAGAGAAGTTATAAGATAAATATTATTTGCATGATAGTAAAATATTTTTTAAACAAGATAACATGATTGGTGTTTTAGATGTTGATGAAGCTAGCAAAAAGGAAGTAAAGGACATCCTAATTCAATATGATCGTACTCTCCTTGTTGCTGACCCAAGGAGATGCGAGCCAAAAAAGTTTGGAGGTCCTGGTGCCAGAGCGCGATATCAGAAATCTTACCGTTGATGTATGCTCATTTTATATATTATATACTTTATTTATATTATTGAGTAAAAACGAAATATAAAATCCATGTGAGGAATACATTTTCTTTCTATTTTTAATAAATTCTTTAATCTATATTCAATAAGATGAATAAGTCTAAACAAACTTTTATTCTAAAAAGAATTATTGAGTTGGTATAAATAAAATTATTTTAAGTGTTGGTTTCAAAAATTTTGTTTATATGAACATTCATCAAATTTATCTCTGCAATAAGAGTGGGATTTTTGTAGAAAATCTCTGCTGTAACTATTGCACAGTTGGATGCTAAAAAATGGCTGACAACATTTGGTTTGCACACTTTACAGCAAAAACATTTTATTTATTTTATTTTTGTATTGCTCATTATATATGCTAAAATAGGTTAATTTCTTAAAGCTTATTATATCTATTATACACCTATTGTAAATCCGGACTTAAACAAATAATTTATTAGAACGTTTATAATTTCATTGATCCATATCTAGTAAAATCACTAGTTTTTATAATTTTCATCAAATTATGCAATATATAATCAATTTCCTGTATACGAGAGCTCTTAAGGCTCGTCTACAATAGCTGTAAGAGTAAGGCTGTAAGGTTGCAAGACACGAAATGAAATATTTTCATTCGCTGACAGCTTACGTTACAGCCTTACAGCCTTAAGCTAAGACTCCATGCATGCGGTGAGCTCCGGCAAACGGCTGCGGTGACCAATCAGGAGACAGACGCATGCCGGAGCTTGCCGCAACCGGACTTGCGCCTCCCTCCTGATTGGTCACCGCAGCCGTTTGCCGGAGCTCACCGCATGCATGGAGTCTTAGCTTTACTCTTACAGCTATTGTAGACGAGCCTTTACAGCTAATGTAGACGAGCCTTTAGAGCATACATAATACGTCTCAGATGTTTTATACAGTTTCCTACATGAAAACGTAAGAAACTACTTAAAATGGCCAAACGACCAACCCTGCTCGTGGATGACGACAGTTAGGAGTCTCTTCTACTTCTCGAGTAGTATTACTCAACGACAAGATAGTAGCACTGCATTATACAAAATATAGAAAAAATTCAAGATGTTTTAACTTTGGCAAAAATGACAATACTGAAATGATTTGAAAAGTATTTTTTAAAGCTGGAAATCTTTACTTTTTACAAACATTATAGTCAATATATTATTTTTATCAAGATATATTGAATTAAATAATACAGAGATAGTTCAATCTTCAATCATTTTTAACTAAATTTTTGCCTTAAAAAATTATTTTTATCAAAAATATAAAAATTGCATTTAACAGAGAGCATTTTCAGCATTTTATTCATTTCTTAATGAATGTTTTATATTAAAAATAGATTTCGCAAGTTTCATCTACGAAGAGATAGTAGCTGAAAAAAATTTCACGAAGTTGCTTATCTATAATTAACCTACTTATAGGTCTACTTGTTTCATTACGTTGCTTTACACTCTTCAGTCTGTTTTATTCTGCCCGATTTTGCCTCGAGTGGTACACGTGAATATTTGGTTAGCGTTGTGTGTAAAATTTGGTTAACAACGTTGTTTACAATAAATTGAATGACAATGTTCAGATATAATTTGTGGCAGTTTCTTGAAACATTCCATCAACATTGTACAATGATGTTACCGTCGATACATGTATCTCGTATGCAAAAAGTGAGTGAATTATCACTTTTTTGAGGTTAAAATAAATACATTCATTAACGTTAGCTTGTTCATTACATAATAATGTAAAAAAAAATTACGTAATAGTGTATCAATTGCACAAACGTTTTGTCATCACTTGAATTTTTCTTCTACATCATTTTCTACTATATTAATTTTTTAAAGTCCATTTTGTTCTCCTCAGATTATTATTATCTGCTTTGCTGGTGGTTCAGTACTATTAGGAGGACTAGCTCAGTTTTTGAAGAGGCGACGAAGACCTCCTCCATCCAGGAGACCTTATAGGGATTACAAACAAAGATTAGCGAGTGCTAAGGCCTCTAATTTTGGTAATATTGCTATATTATATAAATTAATTTGGTTAAAGTTAAAATATAATTAACATTTTTAAGTTGTGAATAATTACATAGCAAAACAAAATAATATAATATTTTTACATTAACTATATAGATGTGTTATCACAAGTATCTTGGGCAAGAAGAAGCGAAGCTAGTACTAGGAGTCATATTAGTGATCGTGCTTCACTCATCTCATCTGTACCTGGTGTCCCAGACGATGATGTTAGACTCACTCCACAACAATATGGTGTGCTCGGTAAGTCTTTGACAACAATTTAACTTAACAATAATTTTAATGTTTTATATATAAAATAAAAAACATTCAGAAAATTATTTAAAATTGATACTATACACTATTGAATATTGTGTCCTAGAGATATTTGGATTTCCATATATTTTCTAATATTCATATGAAAATTGAAAAAAGGAAATACTTATATATGTGAAATCTTAATGAAAATATAGATAAATCTTAGTCTGAAAATTTGACTAATTTTATTAATATAAAAGGATGAATGGACTGGATTAATTTTTTTTTAATATTAATGCATTTCTCATGAAATAATACAAAGCTTTTATAATTAAAACAAATATATAAAATTTCTAATATATAATTGGTCAAGTAATTTATTTGATTAGCAATTAAAGGAGGCAGATGTTAAATAGTAAATTTGCTTCTTATATGTACATAGCAGTTATATTTACATGATAATGTACAATACAGCATACCATATTCACAAATAATACATCTGTGTTAGATAGAGATACTTTTAGAACAGTTCTTGGCTCTGCCGAAGTCAAATAGCTAGGTTTTCTCTGTAGGACATTTATTTTATCTGCCTACTATTGGTATATAGAATTATCAAGAAGCAACCATAGAGTAAGTTTTGTAATCTCAGCCTCTGGGCGTTCAGCTTTATCCTCTTCCTTGAACTTACATTAAATCGTATGCCATTATTGTTTCATCAGTTCATCCGCAAGGAGGAAATATCGCCTGTATAATTTGACAACATAAATTTTATTTGCACTCGTTTACCTGCAGATGCTTTATTTTTTATCATTTCTCTTCATATACGTAAGTCTTTCGATCTCGCAACATATTATTGCTTTCTCTCGTAATGAATGAATTGCACGACAGAACTTTTCTCTTTTCTCTTCTACCTCACATTTACGCAGTTTTATTGAATATCACAACAAGCGTGATTAGGCTTACGTCAATAAACGCATGTATGTACGTTACAAGACACATTCCGCGTCTTTCTTTTCTTTTAGTCCGAAATGAGTGTTCCGTGCTAATCCTACAGTTCATTTCATTGGTTAGTAATAAAATATATAAATTGTACTGGAAACGCCGCTATCGGTAGAGAAAACTATAAACCGTTAAATAAGCTTACTACACAATTACAACTATATCAAGATCAATAGAAATATATAGTATATACATACGGATATTTCTTCGGGATAAAAATGCTTGACAATACACAACCTTATATGAAAAATGATACGCCGCGTCATCTTCAATTGCTCTCGAGCAAATCAAAAATTTTTGTTCTCAAACATCGAACTTAATAATTTCAATACTCAATATACCATACAGTCGCACTTCGTACGCGTACCAAAATATTCTACCCTTATTAAAGAATTATTGAGATATATATATGTACGTTATATATACCAATATGGTTCCTTTTCATTCTTTTTCAATGTTACAATCTTCTTCTCAACTGTAGTCTAGGAAATCTGCGCATCCTATCACTTTACGCTGGCAACAGATGGGTACATCACGAATTGCTTTATGTATCGAACTGCTTTACTTAAAGCCAGGAAAAACGTATTAACGCGTGCATACATATAATGTTACCATAAATATTTTGAAAATAATATCTCATACACGCTTGATCAACCTGGATTAATCATAAGTAATCCATTTAACGTTCTTAAACGTACATTGTGTCGAAACTGTTTTATCGCAACTTATTATTGCATGTCAACTGTGAGTGACTTATCGCATTTCGCTGATATAATCGCGGAACTTAAATTAGTATCGCGAGAGAACGTGTACCCATCCACCTTTCTACTTCTATATGTGGTTTTCCTTACTTGCTACCTCGCTTATAAATTTTACAATCTTCTAAAATTATATCGGCAATCTCAAAAATATATCGTAGCTGAATTAACTCGTATATCTTCTTGCTCTGTCTTTTTTCTTCTTTCTCCGTCGCTTAAACTTCTATTCATCTCCTCCTAGCTCGATGTATATGCTACTGCTTATCCGAAACTTATCCGCGTTAATTAATAGCTCTTTCTCTCTGTTTCTTTCTCTTTCCTAGACACCACCCTCAAAAAAGAATGTGCCATCATTTCTCGAAGCGATTAATCTCCTAGATGATCTAGAATTACACTTTATGAAGGCATAAGACATTTTTAGCTGGAAAGTTGATTCACAGCGGGATTAGAAAAGACGGAATGTCAGAGTTTACACTCACGCTGTGCTACGATAACGTGTTTAACGTTAACGTTCCGCGTCAACTCGCTCACTCCGGTTGCTGCGATCTCTCTTGTACTTGATTCGTGTCGTCATGAGACTAGCTCATTGTTCAATCACGAAGATACTTTTCTCTTCTCTCTCTCTCTCTCTCTCTCTCTCTCTCTCTCTCTCTCTCTCTCTCTCTCTCTCTCTCTCTCTCTCTCTCTCTCTCTCTCTCTCTCTCTCTCTCTCTCTCATTTTCTTTGCTCTATTCTAAGAGGGTATGTGTATGTGTATATGTGGTGTATGGTATGTTTGTATGTATGTATATAAGTATGTGTACATATATTCGTGTATATATATATGTATATATACACATATAATTTATATATATATATATATTAAATATCGAGTTTTTCTTTTTTAAAGGCAAGCATATACGTCGGTACCGCGATGCCGACGCTCAGTAGCGGTATTTTTTTTCTTTTTAAACAAGGAGGTTTCTCTCGCGCCGTACAACATAGTACTTTGCTACGTACGAAATTACAGCAATTTTCTCTTGCGTATATAGTATTCTTTTTTTGGCTTTTTTCTTAATCTTTTATATCTTGTATTTCTTCGGTATTCTTTCGTGTGTATTCTCTATATTCTATTAGATTATATTATCTTTACTATTGCGGGAATGAGAGGAATTAGCGTTAGAAACAGGTCTGCGCGCGTGTCGGGCTTTCACGTGATCCTATGGAGAATGAGCAGCAACACCGGGGCGAGCGTTAGTAAGCTCGACTTGAGCGCACCGCATGCGCCGCCGTGCGTTATCTCTACCTTATTCTTGAGTGAGAGCGGACCGCCGTCGTCGTTCTGCATACCCGTCGACATATCCGTCTTCTTCGGTGGTATAATCAAGTTTTCGTCGTTGTCCGACTCGTCATTCATCTGCCGATGTCGGTGCGTCGTCTTGCTCATTTCTTGCGGTTGCTTCGTCGTCGTCGTCATCATCGTAGTGATAGTAGTGGTGGTCGGTTCCGTGGTGGGTGGAGGCATGGTGGTCGGCACCAGGCTGTAATTGTTGAGGAAGTAGACAGGTCCGAATTCCGGCATGATGTCGAACATAGTCTCCTCCTGACGCGTGCCGCTGATCACGCGAGAAGTCGTCGCGCTATCCTCGTAGTGAGAGATCAACGTGGCTCTGTACGGCACCTCCATGTCCGTGTAGTTGGCCCTCAGTGTAACGTTCACGCCCGTACCAGGCTCCAGGAAGACTATCACACTGGCAACAACGTTGAATTACAACATTCATTAATACACGGCCAAGTTTCCAGCTTAATCGCGGCCCGTGATCGAGAGAGCTTAGCTTCCAAACCGTCAATTAAACAACATACTTTATGGAAACGAAGACTACAAGCTTGTTACGAGCTTCGTATGATTTTCTACGGCACGCGATCTCTATTTTCAGAAAATATGAATTCAAGCTCGGCTCGGCTTGGCTCGGCTCACTCTTAAATTGCTTGTTCGATTCAGATTACGCGTCCCTCGACAACCCTCGACGACTAACGACGAAACAGCAAAACAATGCGCAAACATCGTATTGTCCCACTTCAGAAAATTCAACAAACATTCATCGCCTTGCTTTTGGGGCATGTTAACCGTCCGTTCTCTCTCTCTCTCTCTCTCCTGACACGTCAGCAGGTGAATTTCTTACGTTTAATTCCGTCGAGGGGAAATGTCGATTGATAAACTACGGACAGGATGCAGAAGTAGATTATCGCGTAGCACTCGTCGCGGTATCAATGTCGTCGCGTTGCAATTGGAGCGCGCGGATTTGATGCGCACGGCGTAATTGCGTTGCGTTGAAGTATCACTTAAGCCCGTGCGCGCACGGCGGAGAGTGTTCTGGGGCAGTCGGAGAGTGTGGGGTGGCGAGAAGTCGTCGCCGTGCGAAGTGCACTCTAGGCTCATCCGCACGACGTGAGCTTCAATGATGGAAGCACAGGAAGCGATGGAGTGGCCGTGTGGTCGCAGACAAACAGAGAGAAAGGGAGAAAAACAGAGAGACGGAGAGCGAGCGCGAGAGAGAGAGAGAAAGAGAGAGAGATATAGATAGAGAAAGATACACGGTTACATCGTGGAATAGAGACCCGTGCACGCTCTAATTATATCTAATTATACAGATGCGCCTGAGATTATACCGGCACCGCATCGTCGTAAACCGTACGTTCTTCTAGTTTATGACTGACTGAATGTTCGCTCACGACGCGATAAATCCTCGCGATTGCTCCTTTGATCTGCTAAATATGACGCGAAAGTGTCAATTTATCCCATGCTTCAATATTATACGACACGAGCATGCGAAACATCTGTTTCCTTTTTCTCTCGACCACCAGATCGAGTGTTCAGTGTGAATTTACTATTCTAACACGCATTATACACGCGATCATATTTTCTATAGGCGCTTCTCACGTTTTTGCTGTAGTAGAATATCTAATCCTCTCTGACAATCATAGAGGAAAAGAAATACTCGTGTATCTATGTATCGCTTGACAACCTTGAAGCTAACTACTATCAGTTGCTAGTGTTAAGAAGTGGAAGATTCTCACTTGTGAACGTCCATGCGAATCTCTTCGCGTCGTGTACCCCACGTTACGTTCGACAGGGTTGAGCCGTTGACCAGCGTGATCGAAGTGTTGAGACCGTTCAGGATAGCGTGCCTACGACCCCAATAGACCGAATAGTTGTACGAGTACGTGCAAGCTTCCGCCATCTGCGCTGCTTCCGTTCCCGTGTTGGTGATGGTCGTCTCAGCGAGTACGCGCGGCTCGCGCTTGATGCTACGCTTCTTAGGCCAGTCGAGTTTAACTGCACTGAGCTCGTAACGGATTGGCTCGGTCTCCACCAGCAGCTCGCCAGACTTGGTGAACTTCTCCTCACGATTCTGAAAGAGAATCGAATCTTGAGTATAGAACATCACCGGCGTTAATTACCTCCTCGACGAATACACCATGCTGTTATTGAGTTAGCTATTGTTAACCGTTTTCTAACAATGAGACATCTACTACAAACACTGTTCTGTGAGTTCTTGAAAAACTTCTCTCACAAATAATAATAAATTATGAATTACGATAACCTTCTATTAAGCCAAAGAAACAAAGCGCAGCAAAACCCTCCGAAAAATGAGCTTCTTCAGGATGTTTGTGATTTTATACTTCAACGTCGAGCATCCTTGCGCTTTTGAGATTTTCATCAAGCAAGACTCGGACGCGAATACCGAATAACATGAAATTCCAATAATTTCCCACGAGCCTCGCCTTTCGCTTCCCTCGATTCGGGACACTCACCTCATTCGCGTAGATGATCGAACCGAAATTATCATTCGAGTTGAGCGTGCCGATGTAGTGAGTGTACCGCGACTTCGTAGTGTCCCTCTTATCGCTGTTGTCGGCCTCGTAGCGGGCCACCAACATCTTCTTGTCGACGTACACCGCGCCCAGTAAGGGTTGGAAGAATTTCGTCCAGCGAACCCAAGTGATTCGCGCCGCCCCGTCGACGTTCTCCAGTAGCTCGTACTTATCATACGACTGCACGCTACCATGTAACGTCACGGTGCAGCGTTTCTCCTTGTCCTTTTGCGTCCCAGCAAGCCATACGCTGCTGCTATGCATCGCGCGACACACGTAGAGCGGCCGCCTCTTCATTTCCGGTTTTTCCGCTTGGTTGGCAAAAGTTTCATCTGCAAAACGTCGTAATTGGATTAATTATCAGTATATATAATTATCAGGAGTGTAACAGTTAACATTATGTATAACAATACAATTAACTATAGTTAACTATAGGCGATGATTACAATTATCGGTTCCAAACGGAGGGGGATAAGGCGCGATACGATTTCCTCAAAAAATGCAAATCCACCCTGTCTCTAAATATATTATTCCAGTCTATAATGCAATGCGAATTAAGTATCAGAGTTTCAATGTCAATGACGATGCGCGTCTCGCGCGCATACAATATTGCACACAGGAAAGATACGTGTATAGCGCGTGATAACACACTGTGCGTAAGCCGACGATAGGCTGAAAAGAGGCGCACCTTCACCACCATCTGGTGCGATCTCGAAGCCTCCGATGACTATCTCCTTCGATTCGCTCGGGTTGTAGTGCACCACCGGCAGCCACTTGAGCGTAGTCGAGGTAACCTGCTGTTGACCATACTTCGAGAGTATGTGCACGCTGTTGTCCGCCGTCACCGACAGCAAGAGGACGCCAAGCAGTCCCAAGGCAAGGTAGTTCTTCTGCCAAAGCATCTGCAATTGAGATTTGAGTGAGAACGAGTGAGTCAAGCAGTCGTCAGTTGCTCCCGAGTCGGCTGACGAAGTCGATAACACGACTCGTGATGAAGTAACGATGGATCTTCTATCATGCTGGAATAAAAAGCACACACGCATACGATAGAGAGCGTCTTCTCTCGCTCTCTCTCTCTCTCTCTCTCTTTCTCTTTCGACATCGCTCACCCTCTCTCGCTTGCCCATTTTTCCCCCCTCGACCAGACGGGGTATGCAAAAAGCACGAGTGATTTTCCGGCGATTACGCGCACAAGGATGCCACGCTTTCCCCTAATTGCATTACTATCGCGCCGGTAACAAAAAACAGGCACGAAGAGCGCGCATAGTTTCGCTCACCTACTGCTACCTACGCGCCAACTGCGCTCGCATAACAGCGAGAAGCTGACTGACCCCCTCGGGCTTTGTGATTACGTTTCCGCTTACGCTATACCGAGCGTGTCTTTAACACGAGGGCCCCCCGAGTGTGTAACTGGACCTCGTCGCTCGGTTTTGCTCTTGTTTCGTGTTTTCGCTTGGGTTACTTCGAGAAACCGCTGAGAGACTAACGTGTGAGATCTTGAGAGTGTTCACCTCTTAGAGTGCTCGGTGGTAACACGCGACGTTTGATTGACAAACGGATGAAGAAAGTCGGAACGAACGGAGGAAAGAACGAAGGAAGTCGTAATCCACTTAGAGATCGGCAGCTCAAGCAAGATCGACGCAATTGCCATGTGCAAGCTCACAAAGACGCAATCGTTGCGCAACCGGTCGCTTCACGCGTAATTGATACTATACGGTCGGACAAAGTTCGCACGCGAGATGCTACCAATCGGCGAGAGATGGTAATCCTAAACAGTTTCATCATCCGTTGCACTTTTGCGGCCATCTCCGATAACTCACGCGACCATGCTCGCACTTTGCGCCGCGCACCCGGTATATTGACTTCAAGTAACCGTAACGGTTCCGTGGTATATCCGTTTACGTGATAATACACTCGTTTCACACTGCTCGACTTCCGTGCCGGTGCTCGAGAAAAAAATCCTGCCGGGAGGATTTTCTTTCTTCCTGCCTCCGCCTTGGAGCGGATCTATGATGGCTGTGAGCCTTCAAGCGCGTCTTTTATGTTAACAGAAAAAACTGCAAATGAGATTCCGCGTTTCTGCCGGTGGCATTTGGGAAAGATCGCTGAAATGTCAAGAGACTTGCGATATTCGATGACATGAGAGAGAGAGAGAGAGAGAGAGAGAGAGAGAGAGAGAGAGAGAGAGAGAGAGAGAGAGAGAGAGAGAGAGAGAAAGAGAGACTGAATCAGAGATGAAAATAGAACGAAAACACCTGGATGAATGTGCTACACAAAAGAATACCCCCCTGGTTTCTTTGTTGAATGATCTCCGTCGTTGTCGTCATCATCGTCGTCGCGACTCCGCTTTAAGGAATAAACTGGTTTCCCCGCGCTACTCGTTTTCTAAACTTGCCAGTCGGACGTTCACGCTGGTCCACTTGTCAAATCAACAGCGGCCGACGGCGAGACGACGCAGTTGATCGATTACGGCAAAAAAAGAGAAAGAAATAAAATATCGAATCCACCGGAAAAGAATTTCGCAAACGGGAACGTGTGCGTGACCAGCCGCAATGTTGCCCACGATACCGTAGCAATGCGCGCATGATATCGCAATGGATAGTGGTGGATTAGAGTGACGGGGAGAACCACAATAACAGGGGGATAGTAATTGAAATGTCACTACGGCGCATTAAAAACGGTGTCAAATGGTAACGGGAGAGGGAGGGAAAAAAACCTATCAAGGTTGATATAGAAAGTTCGAGGATCTATCTCGATGTCAAATCAACGGTACGTCTCGCTGTCTTCAGCTTCGGATTAAATTGGTCCGGTTGCTCACGTACACTTCATCCATGAATCTTCGCACACATACTTCGGCAGTGCCGAAAAATTGTTCTCTCGCAAAAATGCGACCGATCCCGTGTTAACCGCTGGGCAATTTAACAGCGTTACCCGCTGACAAAACGTTTCCGCTCGCGTTGTTCGCAGTTCCGCGGAAGCCGGTCGTCATTGTCGGTGCGTTATTGTCGCGATGGCACCGCTCCAATTGCCAGCGAAGATTCGACGCGGCTGATAATCCCATTCTTTCAGATCTAGCCGCCTCGTACAATTGCGCGGGTCCGGCTTTTTTCTCTCCCTGGTCTCACGCGTTTCTTTCTTCGTAGCCGCCTACGCACGATATTTTTCTCTCTTATCTACTATCATGCGAATCATGTTCCTCAGGTTCGCAGTCGTGACACTGCGACGTATTTCGTACTCGCGAGAGGTCAACTTGGTGGAAAAAGTCCGTGACCTAAAAAGCAGTTAGACACGTAAAAGACTCACATTGAAATTCACCTTTGCGCGTCTAAAAGAGACGCTTATAAATTCCGATTTGAGGAACTACCTCTTGGGTCGGGAGTGAGTTACGAAGCGACCGCTGTTCGATCCGAGGTAAAAAGTAGCAAATGTCAAACGACTCTCGCCGGGCTTTATAATTGAGGCGAATTGGAATTTGCATAAATAATATGCTGGTGAGGCGAAAAACGTTGCGAGGTACAAACGCGCGTTCAAATCCATTACTCTCGGTCGCGAGAGCGTTACGTCACCCGCGTACCCAACACGATCAATGAATTTCTATTTAAACAAGTTGAAAAATATAACAGCGACAAAAATGCGGCAAACACGATTGATTTTCCCTTTCTGCAGTCACATTCTAGACGTCTTCTCGAGCGAGATATGTCGCACCGGTTTTACGCAGCTAATCCCGCAGAGGTGTAATCTCGTTTTACGCTACGCAACGTACAAGAAGTCCCGTTAATCGCGGATTTCACCGTTGTTTTATATTCGCGTCTCTTTTCTTCCCCCTCTCTCTCTCTCTCTCTCTGCTATTTTGAGTATTCCTGTCGAGTCAGTTCAACTGAGGTTCGTTTTTCTCTCATTTTCGTATTCTTTCGGAAAGAAGGACGAGGGTAGCTAATTTTGCGCGAAATCTCCTCGAGTCGTTGAGGACTCAAAATCGAGTCCATCTGAAAGAGAAGGAAAGAAAGGAAGGTGATTGGTAACGTTTACACGTGCAACTGTGTACCTTCCACGTGAGTACTTTTAAGGATTAACTCGATGCATCTTGCTGATATGAGTTTGCCTTCGACGAGCAGCGGGTAACTTTCATCGTGCACATGAAGGGGAGAGAGAGAGAGAGAGAGAGAGAGAGAGAGAGAGAGAGAAAGAGAGAGAGAAAGAGAGACACATGTACGAGATGCAACGAGGTGTAAGTTACGACGTGACATTGACTTTGTAACTCTCACGGCGAACTCAACTTCCTCGCGTGATGACGAACGTGTGCGCGATTTATTACCATTTAACTTAGGCTAGCCAACGCTATAAAGGCACTTAGACTCGTGGTAGGTGGCTTGTCAGACCGTAAATAACGCGGTGCAACTTGTAACCGGTTTAAAGGCGGCGGCGACGGCGCCGAAGACAACGTCGATGACGCGGAGGAATCATCGACACGTGTCAGAATTCGAGATCCTCCCGCGGCTGTGCTCGATGACTCTCGTCGCGCGATTCAGCAAACTCGACTTTGGACGAAAGTCGTTGCGCGAACGGTAAACAGTTCCGTTAAAAGCTACGCCCGCGCGCAGATTCGCGCTTTATTCGACGCGCGCTGCGTGCACGCGGCGCGTTCGCTGTTTAAAAGCGGCGAACGGTACATAAAGCGCGGTCTTGTTCGCGTCGGCGTGTAACGCGACTCCCCGAGAACAGATATATACACGTGTACGTGTGTAATTTTATATTTCTTTTCTCGCAAGATATTTTGCAATACAGCGGAAACATAATAGCGATCTCTCTAGTGGGTTATCATAGACGACGGTTGCAAAAGCGCCGAGCCCGGTGAAAATAAAAATGGCTCTACACAACGGTCAATTCTCGCGAGTGATGGGTAAAAATGAGACTTCGTGCAACCGTGAGATAAAATAATGCAATAGGTACGCGATATATCAACCGCGATTTCTCGTGTCGCGCGTACCAACGGAACTTCAATGACCACTGTCAACTGCGGCCAAGCTTGCGCAACAACGTCGACACAGATTGTTGCACAGTGGGTGTGGTTCCCACGCTTTACACGTCGAATTTTTCAGCCGTCTATCCTCTCCGGCCTTATGTCGTAGACATTGGCAGACAATACAATCGGCATATCGCGGCGAAGGTCGAGACCCGTGAACGCGTATCCTCGCATGAGGTACTTACGCAAGGATCTCGTTCCCACTCGGGACGAACACTCGCGGATATTTGCGTTACACGCAGATGTGTTTCTTTCTTAGGCTCAGAGGCTAATAAAAAGCCACGCTGCACGTGGGTGTGACTCGTGAGTCGCGATCCGTAAGTCGCACTTCACGCTCGCGCTGTAACCTTGCTGGATGCATAAAACGGAGCGATTCAAGAACCAGTCGGAATCGGAGATCAATCGGGTCAAGATATCGCGCCGTCGCGACCGTCGATGCGGTCGTCTCGTGTTGTTTAACAATTATGCCTGAAAATAGAATTCTCCTAACATACGATGATACATAGATGGAGTAGCGATAAAGGTTGCCGGACTTGCGTATGTTTAAAGATACCAAATAAAATACTGCCCATACACGCGAGAGGATCCACATTTGTCACACATGACAAAAGCATGAGGTGTGCGTGTATAATAGCATCCTTCCTCCGAATGAAACGCTGATGAAATGATACGTAAAAACTCGGACATTACGAGGTCGATGACGGCTTCGAGATTGAAACGATCTCACGTTTCTCCTGCCCATTGATTCCCATTCCGTATACGTTACCGTGATTACATGCAGGGGGAAGCTATGATTGCAGTCGTAGAAATTGATATTCAGCGCACGATATCGGCCAGCGCGCTCGATCGGTGAGCAGCGAGGAGGGATTACAGTTGCGT